TGCACCCATCCCCACCTGCACCCATCCCCACCTGCACCCATCCCCACTTCTCAGGTGGTGTCAATACCCTGCTGACAGCCAGCTCCCCCAAGAAGGTCCTCTACCTTATAGAACAGCCTGTGGTGGAGGCCTCGGTGTATCCAGTAGATACCCATGTCAGTGAAGAAGAGGAAGGACAGCATGCTGAGGAAGACTCCAGGCCAGCCTAGGGGAGGGAAGTCATGTCAGTGTTCCTTCTGTATGTGCCATAGCTCTAAAGGGTGAGCATGAGTAGGAAGCTGAGGCTTCATGCGTGCAGAGGTGGAGGAAAGAGAGCAGGGTCATGGTGGAAAAAGTGAGCTGGGTCCTATGGGATTATACAGCAAGGGATGGAATGTCATGCAGCTAGGACAGGACGTGCATCCCGTTGGCACTCTTGACCCTGAGGTAGGGGGTTGGCTGTCATGTGCGTGGGCTGACAGGGTGCCAAGGGCATAACTCAGAGCTGAGATGCTTTGGAGCTGGGAGGTGGCCTCTACTGATGTTGCCAGCATTATGGGCTGCCAGCTCTGGCAGGAGTTTGAGGGGGGTATGGGAGGTGTCTGCAGGCTTTTGGCTCAGAATGGAGAAGAAATGTGTGGAGATGGGGGCAGAGAGCAACAGAGAATGAAGGGTAGGGGGACAACGGGGCCTGGGCAGCAGCTCACCATAGGGGGAGTCCTCAATGTTGTCATATAGTTTGCTGTAGCCCCGGACCTCAGCAAAGAAGATGGCAACGGTGGGGACACTGATCCAGGGCAGGGAGCGCAGTGCGTAGATGATTTCCCGTTGCACCTGGTTCTGTGGGGAGGCAGAGAGGGAGCCAGGTTAGGGGACAGCGTAAGTGGAAGCAGAGTGAAGTACACAGTACTTGTTGTGCCATTGAGGCCATGGGCAGGCAGGGAGGGCAGGCATTTGGCATGCTGTTTGGTATTTGGAGCAGATGTTCAGGTGTATACCTGGGGGCAGGGTGTGCAGAGAGGTTGTTTTGAGGAGAGCTGTGCTGTGGGTGTGGAGAGTAGGTGCCAGGGTAGCCTGGAGTGTAAGTGATGTTGGTGGGGGAAGAGAAGGGGTCTCGGGTGCATTGGATCTGGTAGTGCAGAGGTGAGGGTGTCATGCAGGGTCAGAGGTTGATGAGTTTGTGTGAGCAGTGTGCTGAGTCCAGCAGTGAGGAGGGCTGAGCTGCAGACAGCCAAGGAGGTGGTTTGTGGAGCTGTGTGCAGTGCCTTGCTGTTGGGCTGCTCAGGCCAAGGTGGGATGCCTGATGCAGGGATGAGCTGCTGGGCATGGTGGCTGATGTCAGTGGTCACGAGGCCTTTGGATCCTGCCCCAAAGAAATTGCTAGGTTAGCCCTCAAGCAATCAGGCACCTTTTTTTCTCTGTGATTTCTGGTCTATATTATGTGAGTTTTCATCTATTCCTGTAGTTGATGCCTTTTGTATTCTTTGTTACACCCATTCTATGCAACACCTATTGTATTTTAGTTCAGGCCCATCCTGTTCTGTTCCCAACCACATGTTAGAGGCCAGGGATAGGCACCCACCTGTCATCAGCTGCCCAATCACCACCAGGCCCAGCTGTGTGGGTGCTGGCAGCAGTCTGGGGCTGTTGCTGAGGAGCTGGACTTGGTGCCTTTGGTAGAAGGAAAGGCCATGTGCTTTGGGTGTTGGAAGCTAAGGGGCACTGGGGCCTCGAGGTGTGAATGCAGGGCTGGGAAACAGCAGGCCCAGATGTGGGCAATGCAGGTGTAGGGCTGCTGGGGTTGGACAGGACCCCCAGTCTGAAGTGAGGTGGGCAGGAGAGGTTGGTGCCAGAGTGTAGGATGTGAGAGGCATTGTCTGTGGGGTGGCAGTGTTGTGGATGGGAGAGTATGGAGGCAGCAGGGATGGGAGTGAGAAGGTCAGGACTGGGAGGTGCAAGGTAGAAATGGGGCCTTTGGGCTTGCAGAGGGACCTAGGGCAGGTGCCAGTGTCCTTGGGGAGAGCCAGGGTGCTTTTGTATGGGGAAAGGCAGCACCCTGTGTTCAGGTGATAGGAGTGGGGCATTATCTGAGTGGTAACAGATCAGAAGATGGTCCTGAGAGCAGAGAGACCCTGGCTGGGGGTCAGTCCTGCCCTGTTATGTTCCACCAGGGAGTGTCAGGCAGCTCTTGGAGGAGATGGGTGGCAAAGGAATGCCAGCAGCATCTGGGATGTGCTGGGATGGAGCGCAGTGCGTGCAGCCATGGTACCCACCTCGAGGAACTGGGGGTGCTTCTTCAGCTCATGGTCGAAGATGAAGTAGTAGCTGAGGGTGCCGAAGAGCAGATAGAGGGCGAGTGCTCCGAGGTTGGTGATGACGAAGAGGCTGAGCAGCTGGCGAAAGGGCTCGTCCTCTGGCCAGCCCGTGGGATACACGTAGGGTGTGAGCAGGTGGTGGTCAGCGACCTCCAGCACCAGGTCCATGGTGGGTCTGGGGGAGACAGACAGACAGACAGATGGAGAGGAGGCCTTGCTGGGTGTTCTGAGCGGAGGTTATGCAGGCAGTTGTGCTTTTATAGGGGTGTGGGGTGTTTGTGAGCTGTCAGGTGGGGCTGGGCTAAGAGATGGAAAAGTGGGGCAGTTGGGAGGAGTGAGTGGGGCTGTTTTGTGTGAGGAGAGGATGGAGGGGGCTCTGGGATCATTGGGAAGGGGTGGGAGGCTCTGTGGTCCTCAGGGGAAGGGGCGAGGAGGAGGACGGCAGGATTGCCAGCCCACAGCACAAGGGATGGGGCACAGGAAGGCTGTGCTGGGTCAGGGGATGCAGTTAGTGGGATGGGAGCAAGGATGTAGAGGAGCGGGGCTGTGCTGTTGATGCCCATGTGTTGATGGAGCAGGGATGGACAGGAGGCTGCCGTGGTGAGTGAGTTGGGGAGGCAGAGGTGTGCTGCCTTGGGGCCCATCCTCCTCCCAGAGCACTGTGCTGGACACTAGGCTCTGCGGACCTCAGCAGCGTGTTAGGTTGGCGTGGAACCCCAAAGTGCTGCGGCCGGGATCCTGCGCGGCTCTGAGCTTTGCTGCAGGAGGACACGGAGGCGGCGAAGCCGGTCCCGGTGCCCTGGGCACGGTAACGGCGCGCTCCTCGGGTGCTGCGGGGCTGACGAACCCCCGTGGGCTCCCCTGAGGCAGATCGCCGTACCGGAGCCCTACGTTGGGCTGCCTTCCCCCCCGCTCCCCGCGCCCACCCCGCGATCCCCCCTCGGTCCCCCCGCATCCCCTACCTGCCGGCGGGGCCCGAGCGCGGCGGTGGGCGGGGCGGCGCCGCCCTCTAGCGCCACGTGACGTCACGGCCCCGCCCACCTCGCGCCACCGCCGCCGGTGCCGTCACGCGGGGGCGGGGCTACAGAGGAGGCCGCGGGTTCGAGGCCCGGGCTCGGCGAATGGGCGGGGATCAGCGCGGAGTCGGGGCGGCGGTACCGGGTGGTGCCATGGGGCGGGCGGGGGGTTCGCTCGCCTCCCGAATCCGCGCGGAGCCATTCTGCTGTGATTCCCACCGCTTCTGCTCCCACACAAGCCCGCCTGCCCGAACCCCCTGCTTAACATCGGTGCCTCCCGGCCTCTCTCCCCGCTCTGTTCCACCACGCAGGACGACGCTGCTTTACGAAGGAGTACAACGCTTTTTATTCCCACGCAGCCGTGTCACAATTTACCAACACCAGACCAGTCACCCACAGAAACGACCCCCAGCGCCGACCCTCGCCCCGACCCCCGGCACCACCCCCGTTGTGCGGTGCTCCCACCCTTCCCTCACCCCTTCTCTCCTCTTCTTAAGCACGCTTCTCCCTTCCAAAAGCACTTCCCATGCCTCTCCGCCCCCCCAGACACACGCTCAGCCCTCTGCCCCACACCCCCACCGCTCCCTTGGATGGAGATCTGAAGGATGATGAGTTCCCATGCTGTGCCAACGTCCTCCGAGCCGAGCGCGCTCCTCCGTTCTGCTGCACCCTGCGCGGTGCCACCTACCTCTGGCTGCATCCCAGCGCTCTGATGATGCCGACTGTTCTGAGAGCTTGTCCCAGGAGGGGCAGAAGCCCCTCTGAGGGTACGGATGCTACATGTGGATGAGGCTCAGCCCATCCCCGTCTGCTAACAGAGGTGCTGCCCACCTGGGCAAAATGCTACAGGACAGAACCTGGGGAAAAGCTGCAAGCCCTGTGAGTTTCCTGATCTCTGTTGTTGTCAAGGTGCCTTCTGTGCTTCCAGTGATCATTCCTCCTCACTCCAGGCCGATTCCAATCCCTCCTATACCTGTGGGGCCGGCTCAGCGGTGGGTTTGTCGCTGGGGGTGCTGGCTGCTACCCTACAGAGACTCAGGCTGACACGAGAACAGTACATGGCTGGGCAGCAGAGCCACCCCTATGAGGTTGGGTCCTGCAGAGCTGCCCACAGCCACAGCTGTGCCACCACCAGAAGACTTGCTTGGGCTCGGCTGTCTGCTGAAGAGCTGGAGGCTGCAAAATGAAAAAAGGTTACATGTATGGATGCAACAGACACTTGCAAGTTAGGTGGGACCTGCAGGCACCCCTTCCACAGACCCCCCTGAGCTGATCACCTCTCAGCTGGGAAGCCCATCAACAAGCCACTGCCCAGTCTGCCTTGCTCCTCCATATAGCCCTGCTCCTCTGCAGATATTGATGTGTGCTGCCAAACCCACACTGCCCCAAGCAAAGCCCCACGTGCTCCCTGTAGACTGACTGCCTGACGAGCCCTTCATGGTAAAGCAGCACCAAATTTGCAGCACTCCATGTCCACACAGCCAAATGCCTCCAGCCCACTCCAGCTAACCCAAGGCACGTGTTATCCAAGCCTCATCTCTGTCCTGATCCAAAAAAGGCTGCCTTCCCTCCATCTCTGGATGCCAGCAGCCCCTCTGTTGCATAGATGTCCCTGCCCACCCCACACAACGACAGGGCCAAGCCCTGGTGCTTACCCCTGCAGCTCTTGCCGTCCCCTTGCAGTGTCCCTGTCACACAGCTGCAGAGGGGTCCATCCGCTTGACTCGTGCAGATCTGCTCACAGCCACCATTGTCCTCACACCAGTCTGATCCTTTGTGCATGAGAGAGAGTGAGAGATGCTGCTGGATCCTGAGCAGCCCTCAGTTGCCCACCCAGGACGCGCACTCTCTCCAGTGATGGGAAGTCCTACTGGAACTCTCCCATCACCTTCCAGCTGCTCACTCCCATGTCCTGGCCATCTTTCCTTGCACCAAGGGGATCATCACATAAGGTGGAAGACCCTTCATGCCTGTCCTCAGGATGACACACACTTACGTTTCCTCCGAATGGGCCCCACTGACAGGATCTGCTCATGGGCCTCGTGAGTGAAGGCGCTGGCTGACCGCCGGTGCTGGGGGCAGTTCTGCATGAAGATGTCAGCACATTTATTACTCTTGGCCACTGACCAAGCCCTCTCTACACACCTCCAACCTGGACCCCCAAGAGACCCCCTTCCCCCCCCCTGACACAGCCAGGATCTTCCCACAGCAGAGCTCTCCTCCCTGCAGCCAGAGGGAGGTTCAATCCTCCCTATCTCTTCCTCAAGGCTGCCTCTCTGGCTGCCTCTTGAATACAAGCCATGCACAACATGTTCCACCTCCGCCTCAGAAAACTCCCAACCCCAGCAAACCTCAGCCTTAGCCTCCCTTACTATTTTGCAGGAGTACTTCTCCGAGTCACACAGTGAAACAGCACAGTGCAGGTGCACTTCATCGTAGTCCCCGATGAACTTGAAGACAGTGACATGGAAGCGACAGGTCAGGGACACCCCGTTCTCCTCTATGCCAATGGTGTTGTCCTTCAAGTTTTGGCACCTGCGAGCAGGAGAAAAGCTGGCCATGGTGCTTCTGTGACCGGGACCCTCCTTTAAGCAATACTTCTTGCTTCTGTCCCTATGAGACCCCCTTGGGGAAATCTTTCAGCTATTCTCCTAGCTGTCACTGTACCTATATGAGCATCATAGGACCCATGTTTCTGCACCCCTATGACACATGCCAGTTTTGGCTAGGATAGACCTAGGTGTCTTTGTAGTAGCTCCTATGGAGCTATGCTTTCTATAGATAACCAAACCAAGGCACCTGCGGTCACTCACCCTCCCTCAATGATGAAGTAGCGCAGTTTGTCATTGCTGTCCCGTGAGGGTGTTGCATAGCACTTGTTCAGCATCAGGATCAGGTGGTTGGAGTCAGCCCCCACCACAAAGACCCCCACGTAGAGCACGTCCCGCGTGGTCAGCACCACTTCCCCCTGCCGGTACGGGTGCTTGTAGGAGGAGTTCTTGTACAGGGCCATCTTGGTTGTGAAGCTTCCTTCCTGCGTTGGCACTGTCAGGTTGATCACACTAATAAAAAGAAGGAAAAAAAAAATGAGTCTTGGACCTCGCACTGGCTGTTGTTTGCATATTGTAACCTTGCTGTCCATGCACACACGTGCACTGCTTGCCCTGCTCTGACCTGAGCATTGGCCGCACGACTGAGTCCAGAGAGATCTTGATGTCCAGCTCATAGGCACAGGAAAACTCCACATTGATGGTCCGGTCCCGGGTGATGATGTTGCCTGTGTTGTTCGCACTTTCAATCCACACCGTGTTCTTGTATACGATGTGAGTGCTGTTGGACTGCAGAAGGCAGAACGTGGCATCCCTCTAAAGTGACCGTCTCTGATCTCCCACTTGTGGCAGATGCCTCAGACCCAAAACATGTGGTGTAGCTCTGAAAATACCATTTCTCCTACCCCAATATGACCAAGGCTCAAGGCAAGATGCGTCCCACGTGCTGGCCACCTCTTGGATCCTTTCACCCTTGACAAACCACCCTATAACACACTGTGCCCTTGCTGCACTTCCTGCCCCATTGCTCCCAGGTGAGACAATACCCAGTGCCTGCAGCATCCACCCCTGGGCCCATTAGCCCATCACCCTGTCCCACCTGCACCAAGTTGCCGCAATTGCCCTTGGTGTTGTTGATCTGGAAGGAGATGAAGTCCTCGCCCTCTATGCCAGGACAGTGGCGGTCATTGACCCGTACGCCCTCGCGCTCGAAGCCCAGCTGGAACAGCTTGCACTTGGAGATGGACACCTCCATTTGTGCAGCTTTGCACGTCACCTCTGCATCAATGATGTCATGGGTGGCTAGGAGAAAAGGAGAAGGCTCATGGAACCAACTGAAAAGACACCCCGGGCCCAGATCCCCATCCCAGACATCCCTCCCAGCCCTGGGCTCACTGTTGCCGTAGGGTGGGGGCTCAATGCAGCCACACAGCTCCCCACCATCATCCAGCTCGCAGGTCCGGTTGGGGCAGTCGGCGCCAGCACAGGGGTCCTCCACCACTCCTGCTAAACAGCGCGAGACGCACCTTTACCCTTGTGCTCTGGGCCCAGTGCGCTCTGAGCATCCACAGGAGCCCATCTTGCTTACAGCAATTCTCCTTCTCAATCCACTCGGTGCCCAGGATGCCGAAAGTACGGCACGCTTCACCATAGGCAGCCAGTGAGCCGCACAGCTGCACCTGCTTGCGGTTGTAGCAGCCGTCCAAGAAGCAGGACTCGTAGAAGGGCAGAGGGTCCAGCAGGCCGTAGCAGGGCTGGAAGAAGCCCTTCATGTCTGTCAGCTTCAGGCAGTAGTTGTCACTCTGAAGCTTCTGGATCTGGACGTTGTCGCAGGACGCGGCGTACTGGGAGTACTGCAGCTCGTTGCAGCTGCGGGCACCGGACACGTCGTGGGGGGGGGGGGTCCCCAACTGCCCAGCCCCGTGCCCCCCACCACATCCACCTCACCTCTTCTGCATGCCATTGGTTTTCCAGCTCTGTGCCAGCACCACGCTGCTGACCACCGGCTTGCCCCTCAGCGTCGCGTAGTCGTCCGCCGGGTCGCCGTTGAAGTTGCCACACAGCCCGCACACCTTGTTCTGCAGCCGGTCTCCGATGGTGATCTTGATGACGTTGAAGCCGTTGTAACGGATCTGGATGTCGGGGCCGGAGTCGATCACCAGGAAGCCCTCCTGGCTGTAGATCTTGGTGGAGAGTCCCGTGACGAAGGGGATGCTCACGAGGCTGCCATTCACCTGGCACAGCGGGGGGGGACGCAAGGATGACATCCCTTCATCCTCCCCACCACTGGGCAGGAGCAACGCCTCCCTGCAGTCTCCACCGATGTTTTCCAGCACCCCAAGCATGCAAACACGAGAACTCTGCTTTAACAGCTGCCTTTCTTAATCTGCAGGAAATCACTCTGAAGTCCTTGCCTCCCTTACATGCCAGCATAAGGCCACAGTGCAAACCAGCCCATACAAACATGCATAGGCTCTAGCTCACAAGTCCTCTCCTGCTAAGACAGGCTACATGTGATGTCTCTCCACCCCAAAATCAGAATGCCCCTATGCATATTCCACATCCTCCTCTGTTTCCAACCCCAGATTCTGTGATAAAATCAAGCAAGGATAACTTTAAATAGATACAGAGGTGATGAATGCACAACAGCAAGATCCAGTAGATCATAGAATCACAGAATGGTTTGTGTTGGAAGGGACCTTTAAGATCATCCAGTTCTAATTCCCTGCTATAGGCAGGGATACCTCCCTCTAGACCAGGCTGCTCACAACCCCATCCAGTCTGACTTTGAGGGGGCATTCACAGCCTCACTGGGCAATCTGTTCCAGTGTTTCACACCCTTACAGTAAATAATTTCTTTCCAATATCTAGTCTAAATCGACACTCTTTCAGTTTAAAACCACTGAACATTTCTATATAAGAACTAAGCCTTCCCTACAACTTCTGATGATGATGTACTACCGTAACTAGCGTTCCAGCCATGTAAAAAGACAGAGTCCATTAGATATTGATGCTAAGAGCAGTCCCCTTCTATTTAGGTGCCAGTGTTCTCCAAATTTTCTTAATTACTATGGCAGACTACATGATGGTTTCTGCAGGATTATATTACACTGGAATGATCATTCTCTTGGATCTGCGTCCCCCTCTCACCCAGGGGCTGCACGAGATGATGGGCACAGTGATGGGCGCTGGCTCACCCCGCTCCATCAGACCACCTTGCCTCCCAACATTCCTCTCAACCTGGCCAATGTCCCAGCCCAGCACAACAGGGAGCGGCTGCTTGTCTCACGTGAAGCTGCTTCTACCGCTAAGACCAGCAGTGTCACAGGAGGAGATGGCCCCCGACCTCAGCAAGACCTCACCTTGACCGTACTCCTGTCACTGATGAGGATCTGCTCCTCGTTGATGTAGAAGTACACGGGGGAGATGACGGTGAGGTTGGGCGAGGACCACTTGTCGAAATTGATGATGAGCTGGAAGGAGAAGTCGGGCAGCTTCTGGCAGATGGTGGACAGCACGAAGGCGCAGTTGGCGGGGAAGCGGAGGAAGGCGCCATCGAAGGTGCGGAAGACGCCGCCGCCCGCCGCCAGGCAGAAGGAGCTGCGTGTGCTGAAGCAGCCGCGCACGCCGTTGCGCGAGGCGCACTCCTCGTCCGACTTGCAGTGCCGCGGGTCGCATTGGATCAGGTTGCGCCGGAAGCAGCGGCACCGCCGTGTGCAGTCCCCGTTCCAGAAGAGCTGCTTGGGCTGCAAGAGCAAGGGGTCAAGGGGGTGGGAACCTCTGCGAGGCCCGCTGTGGACATTCTGCATGGATTTACTCACTTTCTCTATGTAAAAAAGGGAAATCGGGTGATGATGACTGAGCAGAGAGCTCAGTACACACCGAGCAACTCTCCAGAACAGAACCAAACTTGCAAGCAACAGATAAGCCTCTAGAGTGAGCCCTACAGTGAGCACGAGTCCAAAGTGGGCGAGCAAAGTGGATGTGCCCAAGCATCTCAGCACAAAACGAAGCAAGTGACTGCTGCTACAGGGAAGGGCTGCACTAATCTCAATGCACTGAGGACCAGAAGGGAATCTTGCTGTAAATGTGCATCATGCAACCCACTGGTTGTGTAAAGCCCTTCATCAAAATAATACCAAGAATGTATTGTCTTCCCGAGACCGGTGCAGACATCATGCCTACCTGCTTCCAACCCAACAGACAACAGGAACATGAACGTCTGACAAAGGAAATGTCAATGGCACCTAGCTGTCTTCAAGCCACTCCTTCCTCAAAACAGCACTATAACAGTATCCTGCACCATAACAGTAATCCTGCCTCTGTGCTGCCTCTGTCCTTTGGGATCCCATGATGCATTACAACTGCTGTACTGTGGTGTGGTGGTGATTAATGCATCACACTGATAGATCAGAATCCCAACGAACATCACATGGTCACAGATAAGTAGATTTCATAAGCAGCACTATGCTCACCGCATGCACAACAACATGGCTGCAAGTGCTGAACATCCCTGCTCGCCAATCCCCTGTCCCAGCATCTCAGCACCCTCTCCCAAACCATCCTCACCCAACAACCACACGATGAAGGATGTATGATGTGCCAGAAATGACTTTGCTCTCCTCTGTCCCTCTGGGCCTGCTGGCACCCTGTCATATCCTGCCCTTGTTTTTTTCTCATCTTGAGTCACACAGAGCGTGGGGAGGTCAGTGTTTCCCATGCAAGCCCTGCTTTGATCCTTAGACCCTTCACCACATACCATGGTGATCAGGCACAGCGTGACACCCTACAACACATCCCTGGATCACACATCCCAATCAAGGATCATCACAAAGGGTTACAGTAAAGGCACTGAGGGAAGAATGCTCCCAGCATACCTCATAGTATTTGCCATCAGAGTAGCAGCCGCAGTTCTGGGGCAGGATGCAGCTCTTGCCATTCAGCACGTAGCCAGGGTCACACTGGCAGCCCTCCACGCAATAGTGGCCGCAGTCGCTCTTCAGGCGGATGGCAGCACAGCGGGGCTGGCACAGGGACACACAGCTCTCATAGTGGCTGTTGGGGGGACAGCTGACAGCTACAAAGAGAGGGGAGATCACCAGGGAGGTGTATTAATTCCCTGCAGATTAAGGACTTCTCCTACCTGCTCCTTCCAGCCATAATCTCAGGGGGAATCATCACAGATTATTGTGTGCTGGGAGGGTCACACTGGGATTATTGAGTCCTACTGCTGGCACACAAAGACTGTGTCTTGATGCATACAGTGCACAAACCCTTGTTGCTGTCTGCTGCCCTGCTACTGGTCACTCCTGCTGACCCACATGCTGGGTGACAGGGGTGCTCCTGGTGGTCCTATGGACTCCCAGATAGCATGGGGACACGTTTCAGTGTATGTGCCACTGACAGCTCGCCTTGGCCACTGCACAGCCAAAGGTGCCACCAGCACACCAGGAACCATGTGGGGCAGGGACATGGGATGTAGGCACACAGCCATGCTGCCCCTGTGCTGCTGTAACAATTTCTCCAGAGCTGCGAGATGGTTTGTTAGGAGGAAGAACGACATAAATTTAATTTTTGGTCTTGTTACTGATAGCAATTACTTCCCAGCTGATTTGCCAGATAGAGCGGCTGCCAGGGAGACTCATGACTCCCACCCTCAGGAGCCTAATTGAACGCTGCAGTGTAATCTCATTGACAATAGCAAGCAACCTCATTAGAGGAAACACTGCTGGCTGCAAAGCTCACAACTAAAACTCCTGGGGAACAAATTCAGCTGCATGTGCCTGTACCACTGTGGCCCTGGCGTGCCCCCTGGTCAACTCTGACATGGTGCCACTGCCATGACGTTGACACTTCCATTGTCCAGGGGCTTCCAACTGACCACCTTTCTATATTAGTGATCAAACTGAGGACTCAGAGCTGGCCAGAGGGCTAAATAAGAGCCCGCTGGCAGGGCAGCACTTACAGCATGAGGTGAAGTTCCTCCAGCCGATGATGGCGATGCCCTGCGTCTGGCACGTGCTGGCATAGTTTTGCAGCCAGCCGCAGGCTGTCTGCATGGCTCCCCCGTCAACGCACGTGTCAAAGAGGCAGTTCTTGTAAAAATAGCTGGGGTTGATTTTGCTGTGGCACTTGGCGAAGACACCGCTTTGGCTGGGAATGAGGCTGCAGAGCTGCTGGGGTTTCCAGAAGCCTTCCACTTTGCCACAGGCTGGGCAGCGATCGCCACAGCCCACCCGACAGAAGGTGTCCCGCTTGGCCCAGCTCTGCACGAAGTCAGTGATGCCAAAGGCAGGCATGCCACCCGCAGCCACCAGGTCATCGTCGGGGTTGCCATTGTAGCGGCCGCAGAGGCCGTAGGTCAGGTTCTGGAAGCTGCGCGGGATGGTGACGGAGAGGAAGGTCTTCCAGTCGTACACCACCTTCAGCCCAAAGTCGGTCTCCACCACAATGTGGAAACCAAAGGCGAAGATGTTCACTTTGCCCTGGCCCAGCTTCAGGGGTAGGTAGAGCCTTTCATTGTTGATCTGTAGGGAAGGAAATGAGACAGCAAGATTTTGTGCTTAGGGAAACCACCTGTTGCTCCAGGAGCCACAGCTGGGGTGGGAAGGAATCAACCCTCAGCACCGCCCGACCCTCATGGCCCCACTCACCATCACTGTGTACTTGTAGGCACGGTGGATGACAATGTTGTAGTTGAAGACCTCCACCTCCACTTGCTTCACCCACAGGGCCAGGGAGGTGTCACGATCCTCATTCTTGGCAGTGACAGTGAACGTGGGGAAGGTGTCTGACCGCTCTGCACGCGGCCGTGAGATGGTGGTGCACAGCACCAAGGCACAGCTGCTCTGGAAGTCAAACGAGAAGCCATCAAACGTCAGGTAGTGCCCATAGCCAGAGACGATGCAAGAGGCATCAGTGCGGACGTGGCAGTAGTAGAGGCCGTTCTCTTCTAGGCAGTACTCATCGTCCTTGCAGGAGATGTTCTCGCAGTACACACTGTTGTCTGAGCCATTGCAGTAGCAGAGGAAGTGGCAGGAGATGTCCATCCAAAAGGTCTGGTTGGTGGCCAGCTGGCGGCCCTCAAAGTTGCAGCCGCACTCACCGCGGGGCACGCAGCGGGAACCACGCAGGGCAAAGCCCTCGTCGCACTGGCAGCCCTCTGTGCAGGTGTCCATGCAGACAGGGCCCGTGGCTAGAGTCTCACAGGTCTCCACGCAACTCATGCACTCCTCAAAATGGCTGTTCTCTGGGCACGCCAAGGCTGGGGGCATCAAATGAAGCATGTGAGTTAGCAGCTCCCGCAGCCATGGTGCAAGGAGCACCAAGGTGGGGTACAGACAGAAGGTGGACGTGAGGTGAATACCGACCCACTCGATATAAATGGAGAACTAGTCCCAGCAGCCTGCCTGCCACTGGGTATTCCCACTCCCTCGGTTACTCCTACTCCTCTCTCCCACCTCCCCCCTCACATGCCGAGTGATGCCACCTCCTGCCAACCCAAAAAGGACGTCCTGCTTCCCTCTTCCAGATGGACACCCCACTTAAAAATGGATGCCCCAGTCCCAAAGGGATGCCTCTCTACAGCTTGCACAGCAGAGACGTGGGCTGCCTACTCTGTATAGCCATGCTGGAGATTTTTCATATTCGCTGCTGAATTATGAATGTTTTCCCATCAATGGTAAGTTTACAGCCACAGTTAAAACATGCTATATTCAAATTATCCTCTGGTGATGGCTTACTGTACTGTTAGCCACCATCTGCAGCCCTGGAACGCTCCTGCACCGCATCGTAAACCTCCTTGTGTCTCCTGAAACACCATCACAAAACTGCTTAATGGGGAAATCTGTCTCTGTGGGCAAAGGTGTCACTTAGAAACTACCAGTGATAGGTGAGATGGAGTATCCTCGTCTTTGGGTTATGCTGTGGTCTCACTATGCACTGGTCAGCTGCTGGCTTGCCCTTCCTGATATGAGTGAGCTCCTGACTGTGGTATGGCACAAGCTTTGTAAATCCTGCCTTGCAAGTGAAACAGCTGAGAGACTTCTGGTATGCGAGCAGAATGCAGCCTCTCTCCCTTTGGTGTGCTACTGAGGAGATGCTTTGTATGCCTCAGTCTCCATTGCTGAGGATGCCTCCGTTGGATGTAGCTCTTTTGATGACACCAACCTCTGTGGTAGCCAAGAGAGCAAGAAAACAGCTGCAGTTTATGCAAGTCTGCCCACCCACTCCTATGATTTCAGACTTCTATAAATGCTGTACATTCTGTGGTGCTGTTTTGCTCCCAGCAACCAATAAGGTTGGGGTGCCTCTTTTAAATGCTTTTCAGTTTTGTTTCAAAGGAACATCATTATGAGGTACACACCAGCGACAAGGCACAGGGCAAGGTCCCATAAAAAATGGGGACCAACCTCTGAACACCCATCAGCTCCAAGAAATAGACCCATCCCAAAGCAGAGGGAGCTACATCTCCTCATTAGCGCCCCAGATACTCAAAAGCTTTTGTAGACTCACGGCAAAAGCTGTGGCTCCTCCACTGGCCGACGTCCACCTCGGCGTTCTTGCAGGCACTGGCATAGCGTGCCACTGCATCGCACAGCTCCGACTGGTTGCCTCCGCTCTGGCACAGGCGGAAGAGGCACGTTCTGTAATAGGCTGAGACGTTGACCACGCTGTGGCACTCCAGGAAGGAGCTGTTGGTGGGGTCATTGATGATGCCGCAGTTGGAGCGGCTCCGGTAAGTCTTGAGCAGCTCCGAGTCATTGTTGCACGCTTTGAGGAGGTCCCCGCACTCCCCGTTGCAGATCTCATCGAACGTCGTCCAGCTCTCCAGGAAGAGCTCCAGGTTGTCCGTGCACTTGCCCTTGGGCGTGCAAAACTCGTCACTGGCATTGCCATTGAAGAAGCCACACAGACCCCCGGTGCAGTTGAAGTAGGCAGTGGAGAGGTGGATCTCCAGGAGGCCTGAATCGTAGTAGCCAATGCTCAGGAGCCCCTCTGACTCCGTCACGGTGCCGTTGTCAGTGCGGTAGATCTCCAGGTGGCCAGAAGGGTGGAAATACGGCAGGTCCACATCATAGCCATTCACCTGCAAGGGAAGGCATTAGTAAGGGCAACGTGACTCTGCAAGGTGGTTCCGTCTGCACCACGACAGGAAGGCTAAACCTGGCCTCCACCCTTGAAGGCTGGGAATCTCCTTCACATGGCAGGATGCAGTAACTTCCTTGCATTTCATTCAAAGAGCAAATTGAAGCAAGAATAAGCTAGAGGAGAAAACAGCAGCATTCAGAAAGCCTCCTGATTTGGCTTGGCAAGCAAATAGGAATAGCAGTGCTACAAGGCAGGATGGCCATGGACAGATGCAACCCTACATTAAATCCTATCATACAGACACTATGGTATTGCCTTCTCCTCTACCTTGATGGCAACTGCTCCATCTGCTCCCAATGAAGCCAGGAACTTAGGGCTGCCTCACCTGACTGCATCCTTCCTGCATTCTGCACCACTGCTCACTGCTAATAAATGCTTGGCAAATAGGAAATAGCTGGGAATTTTAGCAGGGGTTCCAGTTAACAGTTTGTGACAGCACAGCATTCTGCCTGCTCCACTGTGGCTGTCTTGGCTTGACAGTACAAAGAGCAAAACCTCAGCTGCAAAACAGAGTAAAAATGGGTATGGCTAGGATTCAGAAAGCATGGAGACCTTCAGTGTTTGGGTACTCCTTCTTTTCCACAGCTATTTTGCTGACTATAGCCACTTGTATTTCAATCAAAATACAAGCGTTTTCAAGATATCTTCTGCTTTCCCCTAGCTCTTTGGTGTGGAGGGTTTGCATGAGCTGGGTTGTGAGAACAGGATCTTGGTGAGCACCTGTGGTCTTCTCACCAGTGCTGGCAGCTGCTGTGAAGTCTATGGGATGGGGACCATGGGTGGATGCAATCCCAGTCCTTTTACCTCTTGCCTTGGATGTGAGAGATGAGTAGACTTTGACTCTTGTGATGGCTCTGATCTCGAGGAACAGCCCTGAGCCGTACACCCATAAGCTCTTCTCCACGGGGACACCGTGGCATGGCACAAGCCTATGCCTCCCACCTTGGTGACGGCCTTACCTTGACCTCCGACAGGCTGGCTCCTCCGACCTTCACCTCCTGGCCGACCACCTGGATCCGCACGACACGCAGCCCATTGGGAGCGTATCCCGGCTTCTTCTGGCTGATGTCCACCTCGATGAAGTCAGGCTTCTCCAGGCAGGTTTTGAGCAGCGTGTAAGAGTGCTCCAGCGGGTAGGGGAAGGTGACACCATCAAACGTCCGCAGCACCTGGTTCTGTCCCACTGAACACAGGCCCTCCCGCTTCGGGTAGCAGCCCCGATAGCCATCCTCAATGGTGCAGACCTCTCCTTCGGGGCAGCTGGTGTTGAAGCACTTGGCCTCCCTGCCATCCTCGCACTGGCACTCTGCTGTGCAGTTTGCTGTTGCCCAGAACACCTCTCCGATGGCGTAGTACCGTCCGTCCACATCACAGCCACACTTCTGCACAGGGACGCAGCGGTCGGCGCTCAGCACGTGGCCATCGTCGCACTCACAGCCCTCAGTGCAGGGTGCAGTGCAGCGCAGTGGGGCTGTCAGGTCTGAGCAGGTGGCAGGGCAGCCACTGGCACACACTGAGTAGTGGCTGTGCTCTGGGCACTGCACGGCTGCCTCTGCAGGTGCCGAAGGGACACAAACAACAGGATGACCGTGTTATCGTGTGGTTCTGAGCTAGGGACCTCAACCTAATAAGCCACACCAATGTGAAATGACCCAGCATTCCCACTTTACGGTAGACTTGGATCTTCCATTTCTCACCCACGCCTTGTTGGCCATTCTTAATGCAAGCAAAAACTCCTCCGAAGCATCCCCTGCACCACTGAGCCTCCTGCAACTATTTGCTACCCAAAGCAAGGAGGGTGCACTGACCAGCATACTGCTAGCCAGCCCCAGCTCAGGTGAAGGCTGTTAGCACAGCAGCCCACTGCTCACACAGCATCCCTGAGTTCCCCCCTCTTGCCTGACTCTTGCCACCCATTGGCTATCATGAAACTCTCACACTGCAGACAAGAAGGACCAAGTGGCTTTCGCCAGAACCCCTCTGCCTCAGGCAACATCACTCCTTTCATTTCCCTCATCTCTTTTGTTTCTCCCATTTATATGGTCCCCCATCCCGGCTCTCTCCCACACCAGGACCTCAGGCAGACTCCACAGCTTGCCCCCAGCACCAGCACACCCACACTTACCGCATCCCGTCTGGGCACGCCATTCTCCCACCGGGATGCCCAGGCCTTGGCACACCGCGGCGTACGCCTGGATGGCTTGGCACAGCCCGGTGCCGTTCTCCCGGGCGCTGCACAGATCATAGACACAGCTGTGTACGAAGGCAGTGGGGTCCACGACGGAGCCGCACTCCCACAGCGGCCCGCCGCTCTTGTTGAGGAAGCCGCAATATTCAGAGGAGAAATAGAGGGATTCGGAGGAGGCGTCGCAGATGCTGCAGTTCTCCACGCAGCCAGGTGAGCACTTCCTTTCAGGGTGAGGCACTCGCCAGCTCTCGCCCAGTTCTGGCACGGAGGAGGCCAACCTGCCATCCGAGCGCAGCGCATCGTCCTCGGGGTCTTTGTTGTAATTCCCGCACAGACCGCACGTGCCATTGATGTACGTGCCAGGAACGGAGACGGAGGCATAGTGTTGGCCATCGTAAGTCACCAGCAGGCCAAAATCAGTCTCCAGGGCTGTGGACAAGCCACTTTGGTAGACTTTGATTGCGCCCAACTCCAGGGAGATGGGTAAGGACACCACCAAGTCATCCACCTGTGGGAACATGAGCAGAGGACTGAGCCACCGTGGAAAAAAGCTGAAGGCTTCACGTGAGGGGTATAGGACCCCACTGCAGGGCCTTATGTTTATAGATGGGTGACACGATCTAAAGTGGTCACAGGATGGGTTGATGGTTGGACTAAGATGGTCTCAGTTGTCTTTCCAACCCCAACGATTCTATGATTCCAGGAGAAGGCTGGCCAGACCTCAGGCCTCGGTTGACCCATGGCTTTGCTGTCATGCCTTCCACCCTTCCCAAGGAATACACAAGACTACTGTCAGGATCTCGCCATCAGGACCAGGTCTGGACCTGGCAAGTTCCAGTTGTTCAGTGTAGCTCTTACCTTGGCTTTCCCAAAGCTGCCCTTCGGGAGGACAATCTTATGCGAGTAGACCTCCACAAAAATGTCCCTCAGCCAGGAGACGGAGGAGCCGCCTCGGTTCTCATTCTTGGCCTCCACGTTGAAGTAGGGCAGCTGGGAGCCTGGCCAGCACTGCCTGGCGAGGAGGTAGGAGCAGGAACCCTGGAAGTGAAAGAGGAAGCCATCGAAGGTGTGGTAGTGCGGATCTCCGAACACCACGCAGGTGCTGCTCTCCACAGGCACGCACTGGAAGAACTTGATCTTTGGCTCGCATGCTTCGAATGGGCCGCAAGCCATCTCCTGGCAGAAGATCTCATTGTTGAAATCCAGGCAGCGGCACTTGGTGCTGCAGTTTGAGTTCTCCCAGAAGATCTCGCCTTGATGGAGAAACTGTCCTAAAAAGCATGGAAAAGAAATGAAACACTTACATTGGAACTCCACCCACAGCTAGAGGCACAGTGTCACTCAGTCACACAAGTCTTGGGTTTGCTTCTGTGACCTGCAGAGAGAGCTGGGGGCTCTGCAGCTGCTCTGGGGAGAGCACTTCAACACCAGCACTGTGCTTGTGTGCCACCGTGCTTGTTAGCTTTGCCCTTTTTCCTATAATAACTCCCTTCAAGTGGCTTTGCCCATCAAGGAGTGCCTCTGTCATCAGAGGTTAAGAGACAATTCATTTCCAATCCAAAAGAGCTCACAATACCTAGGGAATCAAAGATCTGCTGATGAGTAACTTCCTATCCGTGCATAGGTGATGATGGGAACCAAGGAGGGGATGCTCAGCCCGCTGTCACACACAGGCTCTGTAAGGGAGGCAGGTTTCCCTGGTGAGAGACGTGAGCAGCAGAAGACAGGCAAAGGGTGGCAGACATCTTGAGAGATTCCCTTTCCTCCATATGGTTGACTTTCACACCTCTCTTTCAGGCGGATGTGTGAGCTGCCTGCTTTACCTCTCCTAAACTTTTTGTGCTCTTCCATGCCTCCAAAAAAAACCAAAAGACAAAAACCCATTTCCCAACTTCTTGCAACAAACAACAGCTCTTCTTAGGCTCAGCAGCTCCTGCATCAGCTGTCCTGGTGCATGGAGTTTTGCCAAATGAGCTCTGTTATGCATGGCGAGCCTCATCATCTCCAGCATCTCATGGTTCATCGCCTCTTGTGAGAGCAAGCAAGCAGATGCTGGGACACACAGACCTTCTGGTGGGATGTGCACACTGCCCTAGAGGCTGGAAGCAGAGGCTGGCTTTGGCCCCATTGTGAAACCCGGCCTTTCTTCTTCTGCTGGCAGCTGGAAGCCGTTAGGGTGGTGGGAATCTAAGCTTCTCTTGGGCTGAAAGAGCCTTTGGGGTGTGCAGGTCTCCTTTGGTACGATTCTAAATGTTGCCTGTGGAGAAGCCAAATATCCCAGCACTGTGTGACAGCATTTAGCAGTAGGTGACAACCTGCTTGTTGTGCAGACTCCCAGAGCACAGTACATGTTCCTGATAAATTTTATTTGCCCAATAGGAATGCCTTTATCTCTCCACACCACAGTCCTTGTCCTGTTTCTCTGTGCATTTCATCCCTCTATATCTCCACAGCAGAACTGACGCACATGCAGACACTGTAATTGGTGCAGGGTCATGGAATTTATCCTGCTCAGAAACCTATGATTCTTCCCACAGAAAGAGAGGACATGAATCATGGAATCATAGAATCACCAAGGTTGGAAAAGACCCACAAGATCCACAAACATGGGATCATTCTGACAGCTTTTCCCATCCCAGGGGCAAGAGCACAAGACTGTCCCAGGTGCTTCCCATTGTCCCTGTCAGCACTGGAGAAATTAGTCAAGATGATGGCCTGAATGGTATTTGACTGCTGCAAACTGACCAGCCTTTAACATCATAGGCCTGGACAGCAGAAATGAAAGCTTTTAACAATGCATTGCTGATAAATCTGCAGGGATGCAACAAAGCCAGCACGGATGACAGCTTTGTTTGCTGGTGGTTGGAAATGGCACAGTGCTCCCAGTGCTCTATCAGCCCCCCTGTTTTCTCTGAGCTGCCCACTCAGACCTTGCCTGCCTTGGCAAAACCACACTTGCGCAGCCCGGGGCACTCAGGCTGCAGGACCTTTTGCTCTTCTACATCCCACAACATGTAAGGCATCACCATTCCTCCCTTACCTCTCAGGCTGCAGCCATTGGCTGGATCTATTTCTCTGCCATCTATTTTGAAAGCCCAGCGCCCCGGGATGTTCACGTTGGTTGTTTGCTCTATATTGACTATGTCTGGGGTTCTGGAGCCTGGGATGCTGAAGAAGTTGCTGATATTTCCGCCGTTGAAGCCAGCCTAACATGAATAGAGAGCAGATTCTGTCAGGTATCCTGCTGCAGGAAAGCAGCTCTGCAGTTCTGTACCTCCCTGCACCCTGCAATGATTTCCAGGCATGCTGTGTTAATGGGGCTTTTCAGGAATCTGTTTTCAGGTAGTTTGGATGCAAGTGAAAACTCCACAGGCACTACAAGCAGAACAGATCTCTGCTTACATATTTATGCACATATAAATGCAAATATATGCTCCTGGGCATGGCTAAAGCCCAGAAGGGACAGTTCAATGCCTGTAGCCTTTAAGACACATCTCAGCAGCACATTTTTGGCAGATGGGGTAGCTGTGGCATGGCTGCTAGCACCAAATTCTGCCATGCCCATCTACAGTGCCAGGGATGCTGAAGGAACAGGAGACACAAAGAAGCACAGGTACATTAGGAAAGCTGTGGGCAGCCATCCGAGAGCTGGAGAGGGAGCAAAAGCCTCACCTGGGCCATCACCCCACCGAGCCCAGTCAGGGGGTCCCCTCCGCTGGCCGTCCCCGTGGTCCAGCTGATCTCTTGGTAATTAAATATGGCAAAGGATGACACCCCGTCGGTGATGAGAACAGCTTGAAATGTATTCACCTGGGAAAGCACCAACAGATGCACAGTGTGAGGCTGCTTTTCTCCCGCTGCCCACCCTTGCGCCACCCGCGCCCTGGGGGACAGCAGGAGCACCATGGTGCTGTGCAGTAGGAGCCAAATGAGACCCAACACACAGTGATCCCAACCACTCCATCCCCTCCCGTGCTTCAGTCTGGGGAAATCACAGCGCTGCTCCCCATCCAATTCTGTGCCGATAGATGGCAGCAAGAGAATAAGCTTGTGCGAGACCAGCAGCCGGCTGCTATGACCCGTTCTCTCCCATTACCCTCTCTTAGCTCTATTTCTCGACATGTTATCTTACCCAGCTCCCTTCAGCATTCATATTCCACAATGCGATTAACGGTGCGTTGCAGCCGAGGCAGCCATGTACGTTATGTGTTTGGCTTGGCTGCCACTTCCCATCACTACCTGCTCAATCTGTCCTTCCTTTCACTTGAAATGACTCTGCATTTCCAGCCCCAAACACTCAGACAAAATCAGGCCCTGTGCAAGAAGGACACACTTTGCTGGCTGGGAAGGCAGCATAAATCCCTGCTCCTCACATCTACACTTCTACAGACAGAAGGTGCCTGTACTCTGCATGCTTTCTCCATGCAGCAGTCTCCCACGGGATCCCTTCAAAGACAACTGTTTATCTCAACCACACAAACTTCCCAGTTTGGCACTTGTGGCCAAAAACGCATTGGGCACCCATGCCATACAAATAAGCCATCAGAAACTGCATGCTTTTGCTCCGTGGCCACCAAGAGACTGGAGTAACAACTGTGCCCCCGAGGCCACATTCCCCAAATTGTTTTCTGCAGCTTTTCTGCATTGCGATGAATTTCCTGCTTAAGTTGCATTGCGCTGTTCTGCATGCCAACCCAGAGCCTCGGCCACTACAGAGCAGGAATGCTGCTCTGTACCAAAATAAATTGCATTGTGTTGCAAATGTAATTCTTCAGGCAATACACGAACCTCTATATTGCTGGCTGTCTGCAAATATATGTGTGTATGTGTGTTTTTTTCCTGCAAGAGCTGCCAGGACTGGCACAAAAATATGCATTACATCTCGAGCCTCTCTAACAAATGGAAAAGAGCTGAACGGCTTATCGAAGCCAACTTCTCGAGACAGAAGCAGCCAACTTCTGGCACTTGCAGCGTGCAAACAAATACAAAAAGTCCATTTCCCCAAATGACGGCAGGGAGTCCTCACACACTGCCTGCACCCCGATCTCCTGTAGGATGGCGCAGACCTCACAGTGGCAGCTGTCACAGCTTACAGCAATTTAAATGGCATTCAAGCTGGGAAAAAGACTGCACTGCCATCCCCATGGCCATGGCCATCCCCAGGGTCAAGCCCATGGCCATCCCTACGTTCATGGCCATCCTCACAGCCAGCACCATGCATACCACAGCTGTTGCTCTTACCGGCGTCGTGCTGCTCCCCCCGTAGAACGTCACCTCCTCCCAGGTGACGACGAAAACCCAGCTGGCAGAGAAGGATGCCATGTCCTTGAAGTACTTGCGGATGTCCTTGGAGGCTCTGCCCAGCAGCTCGGGGTCGGTGCTCTCGCGGTAGTAGATCTCCCCACGGATGCCATTGTGCACGTCGGCCCAGAAGGGCGCAACGAAGGCCCGGCCATCAGCCAGTGGGAAAGCTTCAGGTGTGAACTGGCTGACCAACGAGTTGAAGGAGATGACGCCGTTGTTGTTCACCTGCCCGAGGAGATGGGGTCACTGGAGAGAGCCCTAAGCAAGCTGCTGGCTTGTCACAAAAAGTGGGGTGAGAGTTTTGTGGCAGGGGATGGTTTGTAACGATGGCTGCTCATGAGAGCTCCTGGCCGAATGGACTCGTAAAACCCCAGGCAGAACAAAACCCTGGGAAGTCTGCACAACCAGGCTCCTACAGACCAGTGGAGGACACATCAGAATGCCATGCAGGCTGGCACCCAGCTCAGCTGGGATCTGCCTCTGGTCCCTGTGTGCACCCAGCCTTTGAGAGCTGGCTGTACGGCTGGGTAGCTGCAGGGCAATGGATTATTATGCCACAGCATGTGCAGTGTGTGCCCCAACCAGCAGCCAGGATGGATGGGGCTTTGGGCAACCTTATTTAGTGAGACTTATGGCACTTTAGCAGGGCTTGGAGTTAGGCAGTCTTTAGGGTCCCTTCCAACCCAAACCATTCCATGACCCCATGATGCATTTAGGGACACACAGAGAAGTGCTCACCCCTGACAGCCCACTCCAGGAGCCCTCCCAGTGCCAGTTGTCACTGCTCTGCCATTTGAGCACGGCAGCATCCCACCCTTGACTTAGGCACCTCCACACAGCTCCAAACCACCCTTTATTTTTTCCTATGGGTCTCTGCATGTTCTCGTTTCTTGTCATGGAACAGGAATAATGTTCCTTGTGTCAAGCCCTGAGCTTCTCTGTACCATTTAATCACCTACAAAAAAAATTTATTGCCTTTTATATTCCTTCCCCATGAACATTAGCCCATTAACTATACCTTTGACTTTCTTAATCATAAAACCTATCAGTTCATGAAATCTAAGAACTTGTCAGGTGGGTGCTAATAAATCTTCCCACTCTTGACGACAGCGAGAGCGCGTTTAACGTGCAGCCAAATGGCAAAGAAAAGAATAAAAGGAAAGTCTGTTCTCCACTTACATAAACTGTCCTGTATGGGGCTCCAAAGAAGATGAACGGAACAGAGAGCTTGATCTCAGGAGAGCTCCCATCATCCACTTTGGGCGTTTTTGTGTCGTTTGGCCAAAATGGGTACAGACTTGCCATGGCGTGAACTGCAAAGAGAGGGGTTCAGTGCTTACAGGGACCCGTCCTAGTTTTGGGGAGGGCACAGTGGGGCACCCAGCAAAAGCCTTCATTGAGCAAACAGAGATTTAGATGGGCTTTCTTTCCCCTCCTCCTCTCTTTGATGTAGAAAAGCAGCACACAGCCCTTGTGACATTCGAGCAGAGCTAAAGGGAGCCACAATGCTTCCAAACAATCCCAGCTCTGTTTACCTCAGTTTGGAACATGCTTTTATTTCCCAGGTCCTAACCTGCACCTCTCAGAGGCCCCTGGTTGCAGACAGCCTGTTCACAGGTCTTGGTTACAGAAATGGGGCTCTGTGGTGCCTGAGCTGAGGATGCTGTGCTCAGCAGCCCCTAAGGATGTACCACCCAGCAGCCCCAAGGTGCACTGCTCAGAGGCACCAGGGATACTCAATTACACAACCCCAAGGATGTTCCCTGCTTGAGGCTGCCTGACAGTGTCACCAGTGAACCCCTCCAACCCAGTCTGACCTGACGGAGACAAGGGCAAACCTGGCCTCACCCTGCTGGCACCCTAAAAATGCTCTGAGTTCCTTGGGATCCTGCATTCAGCCTCACACCAGATCGCTGCTCATCCAGTTTATCATCTTCTTGGCACTTGTTGGTCACTGGGAATTCTTCATGGTCCCATTCTGTACCACGGCAAAAGCACAGCCACCTCCACGTGTGCACTCAGATGCATGCACTATGCATGATCACTTAGGTGATGTGCTTGGAGCAAAGCAGAGCTGCTGGGATTGCTGTAACTATCAGCTTTGCCAACTTCACATTCCCAGCAGCACGGCAGCTCCGCATTTAACCTGCACTAATCTTGCTTCACTGCTCCCAGTGAGGCGAGAGCCATTTGTGCGGGCAGGAGGTTCATTGCCTCAGTGCACTCTGTCACCACTGCACAATCGGTGCCTGTGCTCCCACCCCTCCAGACCCAGGGAAACACTGTTTGCTGTTACACTCTGACCAACGGAAACGGGATGTTTTTTGGGGCAGTTTTGGGGCACAGGGGAGCCGCACTGACCTTGGTGCCGCACGGTTACCACCAGCAGGGCTGCCCAGGCGCTGAGCAACGATCGCGGGTTCATCCTGCAGGGCAGAAAGAAATCCAAACATGCATCACTTCCAAAGGAAAGCGCATCCCAAGCGATCCATCCCAGCACTGCAGAGGGTCCCTCAGCCATCAAGTAGATCCAAACTGCCTACTCTGTTAAGTGCCCTACTGAGCCCTTCCCACCGCTAATGGCTAACGGCCCTGCAGGTGTTGGCAGAGCGAGCTGTCACTGCGTGGAGGAGCTGCAGCACTGCAACGTGTTGCCCCATTTCACCCTGTTGTTCAGAGGCAATTCCTGCCTGATCCGCTCCACAATCACTCAGCTCTTTGCACTGGAGACGCCAACACTTACACAGCTGGGCAACTTCATGCTGAACAAGAATCAATGACAGAGACAAGCAAATACAAGGCTAGGAACAGGAAAGCAAACTCCTCTGCCAGCTCTAATTCCTCCCGTGCCTAATGCAATTTGTTAGTCATTATTAATCCAATAGAAAATATCACTAAAACACCTGCTTTGATTTCTTCGCCTGTCTCTCTGGCTTTCTGCACATAGCAGGGCTTGCAGGAAGGCACCATGCTGTAGCAGCATGCAAACAGCTTCACACTGCACCTCTACCTTGAGTACACCCTGAGCTTCTACAGCAGCCTCCAGAATGTCTCTTCTTTGTACATCCCCACGCACTTCAACTGCGTGCACCCAATGGCCACGGAAGGTCTCTGTATGCTCTCCCTATAGGTTTATTTCTATATCGTACCAAGAGCTCCAGTTATTAATTATCCCCACATACATGTGCCGTGCACAGCACAGCTCTACAGCAAGCAGGGGATGTGACACCACCTGTCCCACACCGCTCCTGTTCGTCCCCCATTGCCAGGAGCAATGGCACAGATGTGTCCCACGTTCCAGTGGTCAACTGTGTTGGCCAAAATCCCCCTTACCCCATGTTGAGAAAAATTTGTTCCACCGGAGCAGAGTATTACTTCATTCCCTATCTTGGAAAGCTGAAAGCAGGACAACAGGATTTTATAGCTATTGTAAATCAGAGCAGCTGTGGGTTTATTAGCAGCGATGGGGAAGACAACAGTACAGCAGCCCAAGCACAAGAGCAGCACTGCTTGGGAGCAGAAAATCCAGGACAGGTGACTTAACACACTGCATTTCTTTACGTATAAGAAAAACATTATTACCAACCTGCTTTGTAGACGTCAGGAGCAACGAGGTCTGAACTTGTAGCCCAGCTCTGTAGGACAGCACTCCTATGTCAATGCAGAGCTCATGCCGGTGCCCTTGGCCAACTCTTGCTGAGGAGTGCAGCTATGTCCCCGTCCTGGTGCTCTCCCAACTGAAAGTGCGATTCCTCCAATGCTGGTTCGGGGCTGGAGGAGTGTAGGGTTGCAATCCCGGTGCCTCTGTTGATAACAGCACCCTAATCTGAGATCGGATTCGGGCCCAGAGATGGGGAGAAGCCCCTTCCTTCCCAGCACTCGCCCCTCGCTGGGTTCGGCTGTGATGTCAGCTGCCCGCAGCCGCTCTGCTCAGCATTGCTTTTTGCTGAAGGGAAAAAAAAAAATACAAGCCTCAAAGAATCGAGCCCCTTCCTCCTTTGTGTAAGTGCAGAAAAAAAGCCATCTATATAGTGTTACAGGATTAGCATTAACAGTGCAAGGCTTAAAGCACCTTTCAAAGGCAGCGCCCCAAGGCTTCAATGCGTTACTTTTCCATCCAAGACTTGTTCTACTTTCTGCATCTCGATTTACCTCTGCTGTTACAGGTGGGAGAGGAAAGCCTTACCCAGCAATACACATTTCTCCGTGTCTGTTGAAGACCATGCCTTGGTGCTTCCATTCCCACTCGCTGTGCAGGGACAGAGTCAGGTTTTACTGGGGTTGATGGGGGCCTTAGCACCAGTATCCCCACGCAGCCAGGATTTGTGAGGGCTGCGCAGCTGATGGGGCACACAGGGAGGTTGGTGCTGGATCCCCTCCCACTGCCTTCAGAAGGGCAGAGGGCTTTTAAGGCTCTGATGGAAGACTCCCATCCTGCAGCTTCATGCACCCCAACTCCTCCCTTCCCTCCCATTTCTAGAGTTAGCAGCAGAGGAAAAAAATCAATTGACTCTTCTCATCCTGTTTGTAAGACAGAGAAAACTGGCGAAAACATGTTTCCCTCTCCTCCTCCTGCAGTTTAATATTCTGGTCCTGTTCTACAGGGCAAGTCTACACTGATTAAGTTTGATGAGGTTTCACTGCCTCTTTGGGGAAGACTTTCTCTTCTAAGCTATTTTCTTTTGCCAGGGGATGCGCCCATCCTGCAGAGCTGAGCGCATCGGAGCAGAGCAAACCACTCTTTATTTATTTCCAAGATAACACTTTCTTCTCGTGTTCAGCTTCCAGAAAAGCAAGTACTGAAGGACGAGACGGCCTCGCTGCGTTCTCCTTTTGCAGAACTCTGCCCAGCCCAAGGACACAGCCTGTGCGAAGGTTTGTTCCAGGACACCATGGACTTGGCCCCTGCACTCTGCCCAAAGGTGCACGTTGTGGGTGAGATGGAGGGAAACGTTTTTGCTTCAGGAAACAACAGAGTTCAAAGCTGAGGACACATTTTGTTTTGTGCAAAAACTTAAATAGGTTTATTGAATTGATCCAAACCAATGATCTAAGTGGCCTGAATTCCACCTCTAAGTCTGCGAGCAAACCAAAGGCAAATTGTCGGCGCGCGAAGTATAATCCCCATGAGAGAAACCAGCATAAAAACGGATATAGACTTACAGTTTTCCCTTTTTCTTTAGAATTACATACGGATGCATAATTAATAGGGCGCGAGAATAGACCTTCATGTTTAAATCATGTTTGAAGTTTCCAGTAAGTGCAGAACAGCAATCACAGCGGCGGAGGCCTGAGATGGCTGCAGCCGCCCCAGTGCCGCTCTGGGGACGGCGTCTGCCCGCTGCCTACAAAGGCTCCACGAGCACCGAGGGTGGCACAGCTGCCAGGAATACATATTTTAGCCTCCGGGCTGCTTTCAGCACATCGTTTGCATTTTCCAATCTGCACACGAACAGCACCTACAGAATCTCATTTCCAAGCAGAAAAGGCGAGCGGCGGAGACGGAGCGATGGCAGAGCGCAGCCAACCCAGAGCCAACCCCAAGAGCACCGTGCACAGACCCTGAGCTGCCCCAAGCCCTGGGGACCACACGGTGCCATCAGCCACCAGGATGCAGGGGAGCCCCACTGAGCACAGCGGCACATCGCAGTGAGGGGGGACAGCCACCACGCCATGCATATTCATAGCATCGCCGGCGAAGCAGCACGCTTGTAACATCTGGTCAAAGCACGGATATTCAATGAGGACGTCTCCAAAAAAAAAACAGCGGCGCAGCATCTCGTCTCAACACGCGTGCAAAACTTTGGTATGTAGCTGTTACCCAATTCCATACGAACCAGGTGCTTCTTCCACTGTGCAGACTGCCCACGGCAGATTTTTATGCATGAACAACAAAATGTTTCTTGACAAAAGTAGCACTCTCAGAAAAGAACACAAGAGCTAGAGAAGCTTGCAAGCCTGTATTTTGTTTTCTCGAAGGAATGGGGCAGAACTGGGGATCTGTCTCGAAAGCAGATGCATGTCAACAAAGCTGGGATGCAGCACCTCGTGGCATTGCATGGACCCTCCTGACATGGACCCTCCTGACATGGACCCTCCTGACATGGACCCTCCTGACATCTCAGGACACTCTCACTGCCCACCACCAGCCCCTCTTGTTCACAGCCCTCGGTCCCCCCAAGACACCCGGTAAGCACCAGCACTGCCCAAACACAAAACCCTTCCCCAGCAGGTATTGCAACAGGAAAGCAATCCAGTTTGGGACATCCTGGAGCGTTGTTTGCGTGCCACTCCATCCTGCTTTTCAAAGTCTATCACGTAGACACGTCAGTCACTCCTGGCTTTTGGACGTGGCTCTTTCTCCTTGGGAAGCCAACCGATGCTTTTGGTTCCCACCCAATGCATGTTCCGCTGCTGCCTGAACAGCTTGGGAACATCATCCAGGAACAAGCTTCCCCAACGACATGGCAAGGCACACATTCATACCGAGGAGCCAGTTTGGGTGTTGATGCCAAATCCCCAGTGATACACGGCGCGTGTCCACATCGCAAGCAACAAGCAATCCTCTTTGTTCATCTTCCAGTTCCCATAAGTTCCACCATAAATAAAGCCATTATCTACTGGCAGCTCCTAGCCAGCGCAGCAGCACTGCTCCCTGCATGGATGAGGGCAATTCTTAGCAGGGAAACAAACCTACAAGCACATAGCTGGGTCTTCTTCAATATCCCCTTTAGTTCTTTAATGGACTTTGTTTATTTCCCTTTCCGCGAGTCAGACATCTAATTGTGCTGAGCAAGCTGGTTAGTAATTACAGCATCTCACTAATACCAGTTACAACGCCTTAAATATATCCATGTAGGCAATTACTGCTCTGTAGAATTAGATCAGAGATTCCTTTGCATCTGCATTGGTTGCCTAGTTCAGACAACGCGGCGATTGATGGACGATGTACTCAAACAGGAGGTCAAAGGGAGAAATAGGCTTCTAATATTAAACAACCATATCTTCATAAAACTTTGTTTTATAACAAAATATCTTATTAAACACAACTTTTCCCGATGCATATCTATGTATATATCATACAGAAGTGTTGGCTTAAGAGTTCCGCTATAAGGCAGCAAAATGCCTTTCGCTGCCCAAACGGAAAATACATCTTCAGTAAAGCTCTAGCTTATAAAAGCATCATTTTATGGTACACTGCCACCATCTCCCTGCTCATGTCTTACAGCCCTGCAGCTATGGCCATCGCCTCTACTCCACCTATGGTGGCTCCTGCTCCATTTGCTATTGCTCGTCTCGATGGTGCCAGCAGATGGATGCTTTTGGCAGGGAGATGAGGCAGAAGTAATTACCTTGTCTTAAGTCCTCCCGTTTTTAATCCTTACTGTGGGTGCGGAACGAATCCCCTCTCAACAGTCCCTACAACCTGAAGATTACGAGATAACACTTTGTCCCCTCCCCATCCTACCCCACCCCACGATCTATGTAAAACATAAAGAGAAACACACAACTCCAAGGCTATAAAGGAGCTTGGTGGCGTGGACAAAAGCATCTCGGGGAAAAAAGTGCACGTGGGGACAGGGAGCATTTCAAAATTACGGTCAGGAGTTCACGTGTAACCAGAGCCCTCAGTGCACAGCTCAGAAACTTTGATGCAGTTGCTTATAACAAGGTAATTTGAAAAGTCTTCAGCTTGTCAGGATGACAGAAGAACAAGGGAGGACAGAGTGAAGCGAAACGGCTGCCTGATTTACAAGAGATATAAAGGACTGAGGGTTTCATCGCACAGGAATCCGCGCTGCGTTAGAGAAGGGCGAATTTAAGCAGCAGCACACAATGCCTACAAGGTGCATGTGGGGGGTGGGGGATCTAGTGAACACCTGCTTTACAATACACGTGGGTATAGGTGCTTTTGGACCTGCTGCCTAAGAAACTGATCCGAGTCAACACATTCTGCTAGTTTGGACCCTAAATGGAGACCCTGCAGCCAGGAATCCCCGGAGAAAGTGCCAGGTTTCATTTCTGGTGCAACAACAACAAACAAACTTCAATTCGAGTCTTGCTCCCTCCCAAGAGAGCAATTTCAGCCATTCCACTTTTGGGACACGGCGGTACAAGGTTAAGTGCTCACTGGAAGACCTTCCGGCATCGCAGGGATGTTTCCCAGCCAAAGGAGGAACGCACTCCTCACCACGTTTCTGACCCACTACCCTAAAAGCCCTCAACACAATGCCAATCTACAATTCCTTTCACAAATTAAACAGGGCCAGGCTTGCTTTGCCTGCGGGCTGACAGTGCTACAGCTTGCAGACACTGTGACACGGACACAGAAAGCAAATCTCCAAATTCATGATAGGACAGCATGGCTAGAAGCAGGAGTTTTTGAAAGAAATCCTTTCTTTCTCATAACATCCCTGCCTTTCCCTCATCTTGTGCGCTCACACCAACCAGTGGAGCTAAGTGGATGCGCTGAATGCTGAATACCTGAGCTCTGATTCAAACTGAACATTATTTCAGACCTTTTCAGTGAGCTTGAGTGTGACAAAAGGCTATGAGACAGCACCCAGATGGAAAACCAAGCTCGCTCAAACCGCAGTTGGATAGCTAGGGTGCTCTGGTGGTGCCAAAAAAAAGCACACGTTCTTTAGAGAAAGAAAAATAAACAGGTCAAATTCCACACCAAGCTGCCTCCTCCCTCATGGGCCCTAGCATTCTTCAGCTTCAACAACTGACCATTCATGCCAAATCACGAGTATACCGGAGCATCAAAGAAAACATGGGGGTATTGCACACACGGAAACACACACACTGAAGTCAGCTGTCACCTCGAGGTCACCTGCAGTGGGTGGTGGGCATGGTTCTGCCATCAGGGCACTCACTCTGGGCTAAGCCACGACCTGCTATAGAAACACAACCAAACCTCAACCAACCAACCGAAATAAAAACCTTGCAAAAACTCCTTAAATGCATGTGTGTGGGTGTGTGGGGTGTGTAGGTCGAGAGAGGCTACTTCATCCTGGGCTCCACATAGATTTTGTCTCCATCCCGAATGCCGTAGGAATGCAGCGCTCGTGAGCTGTACTTCATCTCCTCGGGGCCGAAGGGGGCTTCCTGGTCCAAGTAGAAGAGCAGCATGTTGCTGGTTGACAGCTGCACCACAGTTTTTAAGTGCTTCTTCAGTTCTGCCACAGTCTGATCGAGACGGATTGACATCTCTTCTACCTTGTCCTGGAAGTGAACCTCCACCTTCACGCTGCTCTGCGGCCGAAGATCCACGACTGCCAAGGGCTCCAGCTTCCCATACTTGGTGATCAGCTCGTGGTACCTGCAGATAAAAACAAGTCCAGAGTTACAGTACAGTCCCTCAGATGGCCATCGTACTCTTCACAAGTTGTCTCACTTTGGTTGCAGTCATCCAAGGACGCTATTAGTTTGCAAAGCACAGTTTAACGTCTGCAGCGACTGAAGAAAAAACTCAGGCTTCCTTCTCCGTTTTTCACCACATCTCTGCTACTTAAGGGAGCTGTGTTTTTCTCATACGAGGCAAATTCACCCTTGATTTGGGTCAGACAACCTAAACAGACATCCATCAGGAATAAATCTGGATTGGTAGGAGCCTGCTTTCTGCTCTGCTAGTCTGACACTTCACAGAGCACAAACCATTTCTCTAGCACAGCACTGAACAAGTGCAAATACAACCTAGAAAGCCCATCACTCCAGTTCCTTTGCCTCATGGTGTCCAGACACACTGCAGCACCAACATGAACCCTCCTGAGACATTCAGGCTGACTGCTCTCAAAACAGCTCTATGAGGGCAACTGAGCAGCAGTGCTCTGTGCCATGATCCTACAGTTCCAGAAACACCGTGACTACAGTGGGCTTTGGAAGAAAGGGAGGATAATACACTCAAAAGTCTCTACACCTCCTGTCCATTCCTTGCCAGTCGATCTCTTAAATGCATTCTGGTGACACAGTCTTGCTAGCAGACCTGCAGTGGCTCTGACAAAACTCTCACTGACACTTTCTCATTGAAAGCAAGTTCTCTAGCCTTCCTAGCCAAGGTCCAGCTCAGGGAACCATGCAGGCAGTGCAGAGCCCATCTCACCCCCCCACCACCTTCAGCTGGTATTGCTCCCACTGGGAATGCAGCACCTCCCTTGCCAGGCTGGGAAAGGGGCAAAAAGGCAGCACAACACATAATGCAATCGAAATGACAAAGGCTGAGAGAGGCAGAGAAAAGGTAACGTTTCAGAGGCCCTCCACTGTGCGCTGTACAGAAAGCTCTTTTTGTTTCCCATCTGAGCCCAGGCCGAATGTGATCAGTGCTGTGTCACTGCTCCTGTCAAGAGATGATGGGTCCTGGCAGGATGGCGACCCCTGGGAGTCCTGCTCAAGGCAGGAACGTTCCTGGAGAACAGCAGCCCCTCTGTCTGCCGGGAAATGAGGCGAGGGCCTCCAGGCACTAGGATTTCCCTTGTCTCACAGACAAAATGGGCCTTCACCAGGGCTGAGTGTCCAAATGCAGGCTGGTGCCCTGCTCTCACAGTCACCTGGCCGATACCATCGGGCTGCTTTAGAAAAGCCATTAGTGCTGGGAGGAGACGACGTGCTCCCCATGCTCTACCTGCTGGGCTATGCCTGCAGCAAGCACAAGTGCTACACCGTGCATCACTGATGGCAAGGAAATCCTCACAGTGCTGAGTCCACAGGACGGTGGGGTACAGAGTGCAATAAGAGGGACAAAGCTCCAAGCAGGCTGAGGGGGAGAAGTACCTCAAATGGGCTAGGATTCCCCAAATGCATGTTGTGAATATATAATGCTGCCTTTCATTTTCTGGCATCAAGAGAAGGCAGAACAAGCTTTGCAGCATGCTCCTCATACACTCACTGCAGTCTGTACTGAAAGTCGGGAGTGGGTGGCCCTGCCTGTGGCAGGGGGTTGGAGATTCACGATCCTTGAGGTCCCTTCCAGCCCTGGCCGTGATTCTGTGGTTCTGTGATGCTGTGGAAGACCGGATCCCCTCAGATCGATAGGGACAAAGGCACAATGAGTGTTTTGGTACCCTGGTAATTGGCACCCTGCAGACTCCCATAATCGCCCCTTGCAGCCTGGCAGGCGCTGGCTGCCAGAGCAGAGGATGCTGGAGAAAGGAGCCTGGCTACAAAGTGCCTCTGATATTCTGCAGATAAACAGCGGACCAGAGCAGAGGACTCATTAAAAACCCACAGACACAACAACGTCACTCCAGAAGCCAGCCAATATTGGATTGTACACTCAGCACTCCTTTCTAACTCACGTCATCCACAGAGAAAGATTATTTCTGTCCATTTCACTCCTTCTGCAATCCTTTCGAGCTGCAGCTCGAGAGGAGGAACAACACAAACTGGGAGGTTTACAGGGACAGAACTCACTGTTTGTTTATTGCACACTGTGCCTTGACAGCCTGGAGGGGGGGCTGCTTGCACTGGTGCATTTTCCATGCATTGCTGTTGTCTTCCCCCACTTGAGGCTGCACTGCAATGCAGATGCTATGCCCCCTGCAACAACATGCATGTGTCCTGATTTGATTCTAATGACAAATCGCCTTCAGAGAGACCACACCAGATCTGGAGCAAAGGGGAGGAAGCTCCAGCAAAAAAAACCACATACACAAAATCCTTTTGCAAAGAATAGCAGCTCTCTGGGCTGCAAGGGCTGCTGTGCTCAAGTCCAGGAACTGAACCCAGGCACGAGGGATGCTCTCAGCCATCTGCAGCCTCATTATAAAATACACTGTAGTGGAACAGCTCCTCCAGAACAGAATAACCCCCTTCAGTGACTGCACAAGTCTCTTGGATACGCTGCACAGATGAAGGGATTCAAACAATGAGCCCATTGACTGAGGAAAGGGCTTTAATGGTGTTTAAAGGTTAAGGAACTGAAGGCAGATTTCTGCCGTGCCTTGCTGCAGAGGCATGCAGTTAGCATGCTCTTCAAGACAAGCCCAGCTTCACCAGACAGGTGAGATATTAGTAACTTCTTACATGGCCAGAATATGCTTCCTGAGTTCCTGGCACTATTCAGGGAGCCAACTCCTCCACAGCACATTGCTCCCAGACACACAAGGCTCCTGTCACTGCAGTGCCCACAGACACAAATCCAGAACAACAAGCAGGAACAACGTAAGAGCCTGTCACCTATTTGTCTTCCCTCTGCTGCCCAAATCCTTCCTTCTAAGCTCAGAGCATCACATCTGTGCAACTACAATCAAAAGGCTGCTCAAACTTCACCTTCCCTCTGTACCTGAAAAACCACTTCCAGTCCAAAGGCCTTCTTTGCCTTCTCCCAGCTACCTTCCCCAGGCACCCTGAGCCTGTTTACCATTGCACCTGGTCACCCTGCTCTTCCTTCTGGAGCCACGAACACAGAAAATACAACAGCTTTCTTAGAAGTAAGATGTTATTGAGAATAACCCATTCTAGGAGCAGAACCACGAGCTTACAGCCCCCTTCCACCTCCTCCTTCCTCTCCCCTGCAATTTCTGCTTGCGCTGCTATAACTTCCAACGTTTGTTTCAATTTTTCTGCTTAGAGAGTGCCTTAAATTACAAGCCAGGACTTGTTCTCAGTCTCATCTCCCTGACTACACTGCTGCCCTTCGCCTCTGAACTGACCCCAGCACGCCTTTAGCAAATACCAGCATTGCTGGACTCATCAGTATTCGTACAAACCATCGTGCCCTCAATTCCCCATTCCAACCTTCTCATCTCCTCTCCGTATTGGCAGGCCATACACACACAGCTCTTCCAAAAAACAAGAGGCAGTTTCACCTGCAAGTTAATCTAAGGGAAACGCTGACTGACCAGTGTAAACACCTACCAGATGCTGTTCACATCTTTGCCATCTCCTTACATTCCAATTCCTCGCTTTGTCCCTACCTCTGCCTGCCCCCCATCCAGCTCTCACATGCAGTCACTCTTGTCCTCTTTTCTGTAAAGAAAGAGCTGTGAAGCTTTGCTGTTTGGAAAGCTCATGAGAGTCATGGGCTACAAGGCACATCAGTGCAGTGGCTGGGCACTCCACGATCCTTCCTCAGCCCATTAAGAAGCAGTAAGTAGATGCCAGTGTAGAGAACATACAGACTGAGCAACATCTGTCAAAGTTCATTAGTTTACTAAGATTAACAGGTCATTGGGCACACTTTTTGGCAAGGAAAAACCATCAAAGTTTCCATTTGTGAGCTTCAAAGTGAGGGGACAGCTTCCCATCGCCAGGCTCGTTCCACACACCAGATGGCCAAGAGGATTAGATGCCCTGGCCTGGCACCAGAGAACACGATCTGAACTGACTTCTGGGGACTCCCAAGCACAGGTATATTATGAAGCCACCTCTGGGAGAACAGGAAGCAATGAAGATCATGAACTGAACAGCCGCGTTGTTTAATGGCACTTGACACAGACACTTTAAGACCAAATGTCACTCGGGAGTGATTCTACCAGTCATCAGACAACACTCTAACATAACAGCATCAACCCACACAGAACGAAGGTGGCAAAACAGGAGAGAGGTGAGGAGCATGTTTTTCACTAGCTAGCCCGGATTTCCCATGTAACATCAGCTCTTTGGTTGCCTTCACTTTGGCCTCACTGCCTTTTCACTCCCAGTTCCAAAGGCTTCATACCTGAATGGCACTTCCTCCTCTGGGAACTCCATGTAATACCGGATGAAGAACCGCTCCGAGTCCTCTCGCTCCCCATCACCAACAATGCTCCCATTGAGCTTGATGATAGATGGCAACCTGCTTGCAGACACCAAGAAGTACAGCCAGTGAGAAAAGAAACCCAAATAAGGGTCACCAAGGAGGCAATCACCCCCAAGAGCTATGTGCCATAATGTTACCATCAGGAGACTGCTGCCCCCAGGAGAAAGGGAATGCAGTTTCCAAGCGCATTCAGAACTGAACACTCCTGTTTCACCGTATGCATGCATTGCTGAAAACATACTGAAAACATTCTTGGGAATGCAGAGAAGTTAAGAGTGCAGGTTTCTATTCTTCTCTTTCCCAAACAGCAAAAAAAAACAAAAAAAAACAAAAAAAAAACAAAAAACCAAAAAAAAACCAACAACAAAACCTCCAGTCTTTCAGAGCAGTGAATTCGTACAGAACTCCATCTCCTAGCAGCCACATCCTCCAATCACCAGCTCCCAGCCACTCACTGTCATGTAACAAAACTGCACAGGACAGCCAAACAACAGACCTGGCTATTAGCAGCTTCCTGCGCTCCTCAGTGGTGTAGGACTGCAGCAAAGGGATTCCAAGCAATTTCACTTCCTCGAGCTTGGGAAAAGAATTTAACTTGTCAATGTCTTCCCAGCAATGCAGACCTGCTCAGAAGAGAAGATTTGCTTACACACACGCAGACAATACGCAGTGTATCCAAGACTACCAAACAGAGGCAAACAACCTATGTGACAGGCAGGTGTCTGCTGAAGCTTCTCTGCAAGTCAGCTCTTTTCTCATGACACACTGAAAACACCTCTTTCATTTGCTTGCAAGACAGAGTAGTTTTAATTCTCCCGTGCTGTTGTATCAATCTGGAAAGATGTTCTACACTGGTTTGGGAGCTTAGCTTTTACAGCGGTCTCTGCCCTGTCATTTTCTCTAACACACTCCTTGGGACTTCTGGACTCTATTCAACTATCAGTTCACAAGCCACAGAAATGCAACGCAGAATCCCAAGATCTCAAATACTTGGAATCAAAATTGCCAGCACTTATCACAGGAGCATTTGCTCCTGGGTGAGATAGTGCTTTCAAACCCAGGTGAACAGGCTTTGCTTCCTTTGGTCAGTTTAAGCCTTTCTTATGAGGATTCTTTGATGCTTACACTGCAAAGCAGGTTAACAAAGTGTCTTCCACACAGGCTTAAGTCTCAGCTATTGCTCACACAGCGTTTAAGGTTGTAGAGAACAAAAGATGATGATGCATTAAGTACTTTTGCAGCTGAACATGTGGCAGATCTGCTGTCTCACCAGTGTGCCACAGCCCTCCCAGCAGCCTCCTCTCCACTTCCCAACACTCCAATTTTCTTTCTGGAGCAGTAGCTGAAAAATCCCAGGGGCTGAAGTGTAAAGCAGCCTCGAGCAAAACTTGTGGTGTTCTTCTGATATCTGAGGACAGGTGACAGACAGCTTAGGCTGGTGTACACTTGACCCTTACACACCACATACCTACACTTGTGCTCGTTCCACCCAAGATAAAACACAGAGATGGAAAGGCAAATAGAACTCTTTCATCCTCTCCACTGTCAGACACTTATTTATCCTTCCTCAGAATTGCCTGAGGCAGGGACAGGAAATGGAAGGAAGCTGCTAACAAAAACAGCCCTTCACCAGCTCACTTGGAGTAACTACCAGTCCATTTTGCTCTGGCTCATCACTTAGGTCATGACTGACCACAAAAAGGTAAAGCCAACAGAAATAAGCAAGTGCACTTCCTGCTTGTTTTCCTTCACTAACACTGCATTCCTCAGGTCAGCGTGCCTCAGGTTAAATGGCAGGACAGACTGGGACAAAGGTAGGTGGCCATTTTCATCTCTGCCACAGCACCAGAACCATCCAGAAGATTCAGGCTCCTGCTGTCTTCAGCTGCCTTCTTTGCAGGACTCACTGCTGACTGCAGCTTACTGCTAATGCAGCCTAGGAAGCAACCAGCCCTCAGGCTTAAGTTTCAAGCAGCTCCAAGGGTGTTTTTCACCTTCTCAGGAGGGAACATTCTGATCAACAGCCATCACAAAAAGTGCATCGCTTCAGGGCGCTCACCTGACTTGTGCAAATTGATGGATCGCAAGTTGGGGAACAGCCTTGCGAGGGAATCTTCTGACTCTTCGATGGTGGTGAGGTTGTTGTTAGCCAGAATGAGCGTGTCCAGAGATGGAAACATTATTCCCAATTTTCGAATTTCAGTCCAGTCTTGAAGATTATTGTCAGTTATGTGGAGTAATTTGAGAGACTGACAGCAAACTGGAGAACAAGACACTGTTTCGTAGTCGTTAAGGCACAGGAAGAGCTCCTCCAAGCTGCATGGGGAAGAAAGATCACATCATCATCTTAACATGCTCTGTGAAATGATGACCACCTGGGGTGCAGGGACACACACACTGCTTTAACACAACTCTCTTTAATGGTTCCCACTCAATTTGAAACCTCAGCACAGAGAGGCCCTCTGGAGCACTCCTAATGGAGTGTTTCAGCTACTCTGCTCTGCTCCCATTTGTAAGCTTCATCCACAGCTCTGCATCCCCAAATACTTTCAGCTGTACAATTTGTCTAACAGATCGTTTGGGATGGTGCTCCACATCTGTGCCTGATGAGCCACCAGCCCAGCTCCAGTGGTGACTGCTACTTGCTCTCAGTGCTTAGCACTTAATTTAATGAGATGCTTTTATATATATATATCAATATATATGATGCTTCTCCCCGCCTCGCTGGTTCTGCCAAAGTCTCCTATTCAAGAAAAGAGGTCTCACTAAGTTTTCAGACAGGTACACTCACTCCTCTAATTCCTCTTATACACACACTGGTCACAGGGGATACACTGCTGCCATCCTCCCTGCTTACAACACTGTGCAAGGAGGAATCTGGTATCAAACTGAAGCCACCGAGGACATCTGGGGAAACTGAATGCCACTGCCAAGGTGGACCATGGCCAAGCCACAGAAATCAACAAACTCATTTGCACAGAAAAGCATGATGAAATATTACTTGACTAGTGGCCAGACCCTCAGATTTACATCCCATTCAAAAGCTATTAGTGCAGGTATGCACTGCACCATTCATTCTGCAGTGAGTCACGTCCTGCATTGTCGGGATCGTTATCCATCTCTCAGTACTAGCATTTGGATGTGGAAGAGCAGCCTTGGTGGGCTTTGAAGCACTGCACAAGTTCAGCTTTTAAGCTGTTGTCAAGCCTTCACCTGGCCAGTTCCCAAGCTCTCAAAGAAGAAATTCCATATTCTTCTACTTAATTCCTCACACCCTGCTCACTCCTCACCACATCAGCTATTAGGACAGCCTTGTGTGCAGTGAGCACCCCATTCTCTGCCCAGTGCTTACTCAGGTAACTCCTGCAGGATTGTGTGGACTGTTTCCCAGGAAGCTTTGCTGTTGTTGAGCACAAGTTTGCGGACACCAGCGAAGGAGCCAGCACACCTTCTCTCTAGAACGGACAAACTGAGAGGATTGGAACTCAAGTTTAGAAACTCCAAGTGGGGAACGTTGGACACAATTTTACTGACCTAAGTGAGGAGGGAGAAAAAAAAAACACAGAAGAAAACAAAAAGAGAAAGAAAGATGTGTATCAGGCAGTAATCAGACCTTGTGCAATAATATCCCACCTCCTGAAAGGAGCCCCTTCGGAATGTCCATGAGGCTCAAGGAAATTATATGGGGGGGCTGAAATTAGGCTTGTGGATAACTACCTGAAATTCATCCTCCGGCTATTCACTGATCTGGTTTGATTGGTTAATTGCTCCTTCGCCTCAATGGTTCAATTAATTACAATCTCTGGGCAGCTTGATAAGAGAAAGAAAGAAATTCTCTGGGGAGAGGTCATAAAATCCACCTGAATGCCCAGCTGCAGCAGCAGCACAGTGCTGGGGCTGCAGCTCTGAATGCTGCCATCCCCACTTTCAGCAGGGCAGTCCTGGGCACATCTCCTGAGTTCCTGCCATCACCAACCACTCTCTCAGCTTCCCACTGCTCCCCACTAGCCACAGACTTGACTGTTTTGCCAGAAGCTCATTGTACACACACAGTGAATTCCATATTTGATTCCATTACTCTGCAAGCAGCAGCCTTCCTGCAATTGATCCAAATGCTGGGTACCTCTGCTTGGGGCTCCTTGCTTTCTCTGTGTGTATCAGGTGCTGAGGGCATGGCAGCAGAGAGGTGAGGAAGATGCAGAAAGAAGAAGGAAAAACAAAGGCAATAGGGTACAGCTCTGGTGTGCAGCATACATAACAGATCATGGGATCAGGGTAGGTGCTGACCTGAATGTCGCCAATACACAGAAAGATATGGGGCAAGGTTATTAAAGTGGTCAATTTGTGGTCACCTAAAAATGATTAAGTGAACAGAACAGCCAGGCAGCATCAATTTGTAAAGAACACATCACGTCAATCTAATTTTCCTCTCTGACTGAGTAAGTGACTCAGTGACAAGTCACATAATGGAATGTCAGCCTCCGAGGCCATCTGCACGCCGGTCACATCAGCAAGCAGAGGACTTTGAACAGCCCCTGGAATACTGCTCTAAGTTATGAGTTCAGTACAAAGCCAGCAGACACCACGAAGGCATCCTCCTGCAGAATGCCACTTGTTATATTGCCAGTGGGCAGAATTGTTCAACACTGTGCTTTCTTATTCTGTGGCTGATACCGAGGTGGGAAGGACTGCCAGCATGTACATGAGCAGAGACCAAGGCCAAAAGGTGCAAGGATGGACAAGGCACCAACAGTGGAGAGAAGAAAATTATTGATAACACAGCAAGGAGTCAGAAAACACCTCGCTGGAGAGCTCCACTCCACAAAGCAACTGGGATGGGAGAGATTTGGGAAGACTGTGATGTATGCAGGTCAACAACACAGTGCATTCTCTTGCAAATCTGTAATTCATGTGTTCCATACGTGATGCTAGAGGAATTGCTCTGCCTCACTTTGAGCTGGTGAAGCCTCAGCTCGGGGGATGTCATGTTTTGGGCACTACAAGCTTTAAGAATGAAACAGTCAGACTGGAAGGACATCTAAGCAACAAAAACAATATGGGATTTAGAACAAAAATGGCCTGCAGTGAGAAGTAAGAGTAACTGGATTTTTTTATTATTGTCCTAAGGTTGGAAAAGCAGACAGGAAAGCTCCTGAATGTGGGTAGAAAAGGCTGCCACAAAGGGAGCAGCAGCAAATGCTCCTCCATGGCTGCTGTGTACAGGGCACCAGCAATTGCCTTAACTTGCAGCATGGCAGACTTATGTGACGTGGTTTAGATTAAGAGGTTATTAGCTAGCTGGGCATCTGGAATCCCCATCTCTGGCAGTTTGTAAGAGCTGATTAGATATTTGTCTGCTGGAGACAGGCTAAGAAAACTTAATCCTGGCTTAGAAGAAGGGGCCAAAGTAGAAGGAAAACCTTTCATTTCCTGCTTTACTGTGGTTCACGCAGGGGCAGCCTAAGCAGACAGACGAAAGGGCAGCGTGTGAGACATACAGCTTGTGTGACATGTGGGTGTGCAGCAGCCCCAGCTGCTCCAAGTCTGACAGGGAGGTGAACTGGGAGCAGGGAGGCAGCTCATTGCTGTGGGATGAGGCTTTTATGGCTCACAGGACACCAAGGCTCTGACCCAGCTCAAAACAGGGATGTCTTCAGTATAAAATCATCTTCCCCGGCTCCAATCTCAACAGACAAGACTAAGCTCTCTCTGCTCCCCACCTTTTAGGTCAGTAAGGAAGCAACAGGAACAAGGAAACCTATCTCCAGTTCTGGCAACTCCAGTAACAGAGCAGCAGCACTTCTGCACACACTGGCTCTGCTACCTGTTCAAAGACACAGGAGCTTAATGTGATGGAAATAAAGTATCTTTACATTACTTGTCCTTTGTATTTAAACACTGAACACTGAGTTAAAAGCAGAGCAAAAGCTGGTGAGGAACAACAACAGATTGCAATTATTTTACTCACGTTACATTGCATTTTTCTAGCATATTTCAGCCAAGCATTTCAGAGCATTTTACAGCAGCACTCAGCACTAATTAACGAGGTTTCAAAAGTGCCCTTTGATGTAGATGTTATTAAACCCGTTTTGCAGGTGCCAAAACAAAAGAGGAGAGAGAAGAAATGCCTTGCCCAGCATTACAGATTTGGTAGCAAAGCTGGGAATTAACTCCAGCTCCTCAGACCTCTCCTGTTCTTACTCTGTTGAAAACCACCCTGCTCATTAACCTCTTGACTTTTGAAATGCCAGTTCCAGTGCTTTGCACAATAAAAAAAATATACATTTGTCACCCACAGGCCAAGATCATAAGTCAAGAAGAAAATGGAGTCAAGTGCCCGAATGGATTAAATTTATCACATTTATGGCTCTTGAGCTGTCAAACTAAATAAGCATCATCTTCAAAAATGAGTAAGAACTCACCAAGTAAACAGAAATTTCTCTCCTTCAAATGAATGAAGTACTCTTATAACCCGTGACGCATTTGCATTCATTATAGCAGCCACCAAGGCCATGCGGGGAGGTGCACACGACCATCCTACCTCGTGCCAGTCTTCCAGTTTATTGTCAGAAAGATCGAGTTCAGAGACGTGGGCACAGAAGGCAGCGATCTCGTTCTCATCCCCTGCACAGGTGATGCCACAGCTGTTCAGCACCAGCACGCTTGGAAGGTTGAGACGATCTGAAAGGGTGAAAGAAAAGATGCCCTACGGTCAGCAGCCCACGCCTTTGGTACAGACAGCAACACCTCCATCTCAGCGAACACAAAGGAGGTGTGAAATTCATCACAAGGCAATGATCTGCCCGAAATGCCACGATTTACACATACTTAAGAGATATTGGGATAAGCCTGGTTCACATGACAAATGAGCAACTTTTTGATTTTTTCTTGATGTCAATCAAGAAGTTTTCTTGCATCTAAACATGACACATCCCACAGCATCAAAGCTCTTCACTTACAGCATTACTTTCTGCCCACAGCACAGCAGCCAGGACAGTCCCTTGGACTCGATAGCCAGTTTTGGCCTGAACTTACACTCCTCCTCAGGCATCTGCTATTGCAGATAGGACACAGCACTAGCTGGAGTGTCAGCTGCACAGAGCCAGGCCCCCTTATCCTCTTGTGCTTAGCCCACATGGGCCAAGGGTATATTTAAACACTTCTTTTTTTTAAGCTCTTCCTTTTCAACAACGTGTGTGATCCTACAGCCTGGAAGAGCTTCAGTCTCTGCTCTGCCTTCTGCTTTAGTTCTGCTCTCATCTCATCTCGTGCAGGTAAACATTCTCAGCTATTTTGCAGACAAGGACTTAGAGCACTGTCATGGCCTATTTGCTAAGGCCAAACCATGACAAACTAAAAAGCTATGCATTTGTCACAGGAAACCTCTTTGATCCAAGAAATCCCCATTAAGGCAACGCAAGCCATCAGCCTTACTCTCTTCACCATACAGCATTCTCTCATCTCTGTTGAATAGCAACATTTAACAACAAGGTTTGACCACAGAGATGGCCCTTTTTCTGTGTCCTTCATTCTCGACAGCTGCATGGTTGGACAGGGCTTCTAACAGCAGGCAGTAGTCAGAGTGATTGGAGATTTCCAGTTTCTTGGCTCACTACCATTTGGCTTTCTTAAAGGATGGTGTTGTACTGTGGGGATTGGTTGTGATGGACATGTAGGTCACGCCTTGAGCACATCTGAAGGCCCAAGTGCCTTGTCTTCAGCTCCCAAACAACTCAGGTAGGCTCATGTCAGCACACAGCAGTGAGGGCACTGGCTGAAGATTCCATTGGGCTGATTTTCTGTTTGCTTTAATTTTGAGTGACGTTGTATATCTTATCCTTAACTAACCTCAGGCCCTTTTTTCTCCTCTGTCAAAGTCAGTTACTGTACATCCCATCCAGCTCCCTTCCGTGCCTATTTTCCCCCCCTTGGGGCTGGTTATGGCATAAATTGACCTGACAGAAATTTAAACTAAACTCACAACCAAAGATGGGCGAGAGGTTATACAAAGAGGCAGCAGGTCGGTGGGATAAACGGGCATCTCAGAGTCATCTGTACAAACAGAGAACTGAATGCAAACATCAGATCTTGAGGGAAGACTAAAGGGCATCAAACTAACCCAGTTCAAAGAGCATGAAATAGCAACACAGATTCTGCAGTGCAGAAGACCGAAGGATGTACATCAGCAGCACAGCACTTCAGACACACGTCTGTCTTGATATTGCCTTCAGGCAGTACAGTCAGAAGCAAAGGAGAGGGATTTCTCCTGCAGTTCAGCAAAATCATGCTCAGAGATCAGCTGATGCCGTGAGACCAGAACCAAAGCAGACCACAAACCCACTTGAGACACAAAAGAAGCCTTGCTGGAGATTCCACAGCTCAGCACCTGGCTTGATATGCAGTCCTGTGTGCACTGGACTCCCTGTGTACCCACAGGCACCAACGTGAGCTGATGGCACTGCATGATACCACTGGTATGTGGAGCAACCTCAAATACAGATCAAGCACTTTTGTATCATTCCAGCCACTAGCACAGCAGTTAACATCATTAGGCTAATCAAAAATAAGCTGCAGGGACTGCTGAGCCCCCAGAACTCAGTGCTGCACAGAACCTTCATTCCATCTCTCCCTGAAAAGATTCTGATTCTGCTGTGCTGGCAGGGGGAAATTCAGTTCATTTTTTACAGCAACCTTCAGGCACTCAACCTGCTTTCAGACTCTGCTAGTCTAGTCTCTCAGCTTTTAGTAAGAAACACATGGTGACACAGAAGGACATTTCTTCTTCTGGGCAATTCAGAGCAATTCTTCATTCAACATAAGCAAAAACAACCAAGAAACTGCTCCCACTGACACATACCTTTCATAGGTGAGCCCTGAGGAGTTGCTGGGACGTGCACACCCATACCAGGACCACGGCGATATGGGAAGTTCTCAGGGCTGTATTTCTCACAAAGAACTTGCATGAAACTCCTGCCACTGGGTTGGTCCATGCTCCTTTCTTGGACTTCTGGTTAACACAGAAAACAGAGCACGCAATCAGTCCTCATCACCTCCAGTTTTGGGAACGTAGGACAGAAAGTGACCATATCCAGCTCATGGATTTTACTTCTCCATCTTTCAAATTAAAGATTAGAGTGATATGGTAATCAGAGGGGTGGAAGAAAAAAAAAATAACTAAAACATCTCAAAACAAAGAAAATCATAAGAAAAACAAAACCACAGAAATCCCAGAGCTGAACAAAACACCCTTTAAGTCATACAGTCCTCATAAAAAGCCTCTGGGCCCCACACTCTTCCACGACCCTTCCCAACAGGACCCTTCTTGTGCTCCAAGATTCACAGGATCACTTCCATGCCTTGCAAAAGGACTGTGAGATGTTCATAGATATTCACAAACATCTGCAGGCTGCTGAGAATTGGGGAAATAGCAAAGATTGCTCGAAGGGGTGCTTTCATCCCCCCAGTTCCCTTTTCTCTACCAAAGGACACCTCACCATCAGCCTGGGGACTCCCAATTGCTGTGCTCTGAAGTCACAGCAAGGTCTTTATGCCCTGATGCAAAACAACTCTGTCATTGGCTGGAGTACCAGTGGTTATCCGTGCTCCTTTGCACTGTCAGATTAAGATGTGCTCATGATTACACCTGCATGGCACAGATCAACTCTGCCCCAGAGATGCATGCATTTCATCTGGACAGAATGAAGGAAATAAATAGCTTTTGGGTGGGGGAAAAAGGGAAGGGGGACCCACAGCACTCTGTTTGTAGAAGGACACTAAGCAAAGCAGCCTCCAGTTGGTTTGTTAAAATCAGGCCAGTGCAGTACACAGCCTGGAGCTCAACAGCCTCAGCTAGCTGGCTTCCATCAGCAGGCACACAGCATGTCATGAGCTACTCAAGTTGGAGAGGAAAGGACTCCCAGGACTCTCATCTGCACTGACAGCAGTGTCTCACTCAATGCAAGGGCAAGTATCATCACTTCCCCTCTGACTCCACACAGAGCTGCAGTTGTTCTGTGCTGCTTGCAGATCTGGGCTTCTAATTAGAGCACAAATGCTGTGTCACACCATGCTCTCAAGAACATAGGAGAGCATCACTTGGCCAGGCCAAAAAGCACGTTCTGCCAATTCCATTTTGCAGCTGTTTAATGTGTCTCAAAGATAAACATGCCCTTCATATCTAGGCAGGCCATAGAACAAACAGCACAGGAAAAAGGACTCCACACACCATGCATGGGCTTGCCTAGAGAGATAGCAGGGTCAGCTGGAAGCCCACTTGGCACAGGGGAACCATGGGGGTCAGCACACTGCTGTACCCACAGGAATGGACCCTGCTGTCCTGCTTTGCCCCAGCTACATTGAACTTGGCATTTCACATCACTCTGGGTGACAGAAGGACAGAAGAACAAAAACAATGCTGCTAACCAACATCAAATTACCATCTCTGTACACTGCTATGAACTTCTCCTTAGACTTGTTACTGGCAATGGCATATACAAAAAAGTGAATCCAAAAAAGTTCCCTTTGCTGAGACTCACATACTTACCACGGTTCATGATCTTACTGCCTACAACACCTCCATCTCAAACGACTTTGGCATCACAATAAGAGGCAAGATGACAGAAGACTGTTTTTTTTATTTTATGTGATTTTATGTGATCCATAGAGCTTTCAGGTTACATATAGAGACATCAGAGATCAGGCTTATTTAAAAACAAAACACCTTTTCTAGTCCTCAGCAACTTGGGTGCATTCACACATCCTGTCCTTTTCAGCTGCAGCATCAGAATCCTGACCTAATGACATCCACGCTCATCACTTCTGAAATGCATACATTTTCTATTCCAAGCTTTACTTTGGCAAGCCGATGCCAAACAACATCATAGGGCAGTTATTTTCTCCACAACCCCCCATTATGATATTTCATATTAATTATAACAACTTGTCACACTCCTGGCACTTCTGCATCACTGCCATTACTTAAGAGCAAGGATTAACAAAGCACGCAAAGCAAACATGACACATTTCCCATGAATGCTGCCTGCACACGAGCAGGACAGGGCAATTTGCAGGGCACACGTTTCTGTGTGCTGTCCTACCGATGGCACGAGGAACAATTCATTCTGAAACACTCTGGGCTGTCCAAATGACAGCATGAACTGCAAATGCTGCGCCTGGTCTTTGAGAGCTGCTGACAAGCAGCCCTTGTTGCCTATACTTGAGCACTGCTGGAAGGAGGTGGCACAAGGCACAGCATCTGCAAAGAGGAGCATAAGAACATTGATGATGACTGTGACAGTGCTACAAACCAACCCGGAGCAAAGGTTGTGGATGCCCCATCCCCAGAGGCATTCAAGGCCAGGCTGGATGTGGCTCTGGGCAGCCTGGTCTGCTGGTTGGCAACCCTGCACACAGTAGGGGGTTGGAACTAGATGAGCACTGTGGTCCTTTTCAACCCAGGCCATTCTATGAAGGATGATCTTTCAGAGGAATTAATTCATAGATGACAAACTCCAGTGCAACCCGGATACCTCCCAAGCTGAACCCAAGCACACACACACAGTGCATTTCAGCACGTCCACGTGCATGACAAACATCTGCCAGAAAGCAGTCAGTCCATCCCTCCTCCACGATGCGACCCAAAACATTTTCATAGAACCGTAACAATTGGAAAAGGCCACTGAGAGCATCGAATTCAGGCCCTGAGCGCCACCACAGCCAACGCGACCAGCAGAACACGGTCAAAAACATCACAACCGCACGTGGCCGCAACCAGCGGCGGGGTGAAGCCAGGGGTGAGGGCCGGGATAGGAGCGCCGTGAGCAGCAGGAAGGACAGAGGGCACCCGAGAAGCGCATCGATGCAGCACCCCGGGGCGGCTGGAGGAGCGGAGCCGCGGCCCTACGAGCGCCGTGCTGCCGCTCAGCCACACGCGTGGGCCGAGAGCCCCGCAGGCACAGCCCGGTGCCGCCACGCTCCGCATCCCGCCGCGCCGCCCGCACCCCCTGCAGCCCCCGTTCCCTCAGTCCCTCCGTGCCCGGTCCGCGGTTCCCATCGCCCGCTTCTCACGGTTCCTCCGCCCCGCTCGCCCCGCTCTCACCCAGGCCCGGCGGCCGCGTCCCGCATCGACCCGGAAACAACTCGGTAGCAACCAAACATCACGTGACTGCCCCCCGTCACGTGAGCGGGGCCGGGTCGGTCGCCATGGAAACGGAGATGCTGCCCCGCGGCTGCTCCTCCCGCACTGCTGTGGTGTCGTCAGGCGGGAGGGGAAGGGGGGCACGCCGTGCCCTCAGCCCGGGCCTCATCCCAGCGCGGCCCCGGGAGCAGCCATCATGGAATCATAGAACGGCTGGGCTGGATAGGACCTGGAGGCATTCAAAGCCAGGCTGGATGTGGCTCTGGGCAGCCTGATTGGTGACCCTGCACACAGCAGGGGCTGGAAGTGGATGAGCATTGCGCTCCTTTGCAATGCGGGCCGTTCTGCGGTTCTGATGCTTGGTGTCACGTCCCAGCACCCTGGGTCTGCCTTGCTCCTTATGAGCACTTTGCCCATTTCTCACCTGAGGTGCCAACCCATCCTTGCCGGGATGACACAACAAATACCAAACCATCCTGCACAGCCCAGCTGTGCTGCAGCTCTGCACACGAAGCCTTGGCTATCCATTTCCCAGGCATTGCTGCCCTGCATCCTGGGGCCAGCCGTAGCACTGTGAGGAGGGGTCGGAGCTCAGGCAAACATCACACATCTCCTGGCTGTGCCCAGCTCCCCACCAGCACTGAGATGCGTGCATGCCCTGATTTCCCTTTAACACATTAAAAAAAAAAGCCCTTTGCTGTTCTTTCTTATTACCCTGTTGACACAACATTGGTTTTGCTTTGTTCCCAGGCAGGCCAGCAGAAATGAACATTGCCTCACTGGCGTTCCTGTAAAAAACGTCTCCCCACACACCCTGAATGGCTTATTTGGTTCTTTTTATACATTCCAGGGAGAGCTTTGTCTCCATTTGGTTTTCCTTTCCCTGCCACTTCTGGTATCTGTTTCAGGGAGATAAAGAACTCCATTGCATTCAGAGCCTACGCTCTTGTTTCTAACAATCCTCACTGTTTTTTTTTTTATTTTGCACAGCTTACCTGTGCTATTTAGTTGCTAGAAGGAAGAAAGAACATACTTCAGCTGGCAACCTGCACCAGCAGGCTACATTTTAATTTTAAATACGCTGTAGGTGCTGCTTTCTATAGTTACAGATTAACTGGATATAACAGCCGTCTGTCTCGGTCAGTGCTGTAAGTGTGAGAAAGTGACCGGTGCATTAATTAAAGACAGTGTTAATGGGGACAGTACAACTCGGGGACCTGTTAGCACAATATAGTCTTTCACCTGAAGGTGCCAGTTTGAATACAGCCCTGGCTAGCTCCAATGGGATGCTCTTATCTGTTGGATGCCTCATTGTCTGGGGGAACTGAGTTTGATGGGTCTCAATCTGCTCCTCCTCAGAGGATGAGTATCTCCTTCCAAAGCCTTTGCAGCCCCAGTGACCTCCCTGGCAGGCTCCCCCCGTTCCCACAGCCGCCTCCCCTAGGGTTAAGCAGGCCATGGGAACCAGAGTCACCTCCCAAAAGGGGTTACTGACAGCGGTTCTCATCGACAGTGGAGCCACAGAACGAGGACAAGGCAGGAGAGCACTCAGCCCAGTGGGATCCTCGTGAGGTGACAGAGCCATCAAAGCCACATGTGGGTATTATCGTACGTTTAGAGCTAGACTTGAGCAACCTGAGCAGGAAAACCACCCTCAATATTTCAGTAAGTTCTGCTCACAATCCTTTTCTCATTACTTCATGCTTCCCATGTGCTACCAATAAACATCACTCCTATCAAGGGAGTCATGTACTGGGGTCTGAGCTGGCTCCTGAGCTTGTGCACCACAAGGGAACCCATTAACATCCAGAATACAAGCCACGCACTCCCCTCATTTCACTCCTTTCTTAGTTGGAGCAGAAGCATCAGGCAAAAATAAACACGTGTGCTCTTCAAAATTACCCACAAGGAAGATTCGCACATGGTCTGTGTTAAAATAAAGTGAATTACTAGTCATAACAATCGTTTAAAAAGCAAGCTTCCTTGTGGTCTGATGTGCATAAACCCATGGATTCCCTGGCTAACAGCATCCGACACCTCTCGCCATGCCCAGGGAAGCACACATGGGGACACACCGAGAGCACTGCACTGCCCATGATTGCAGTTAATGCAGTGCTGGAAGGAGCCTTCAGCAGCCTCTGCCCTCATCGGAATGATTTTCCCTCTCTTTAAATCACCAGAGGTTTTTAGGGGAGGATCGGAGGAGAGAACTTGAAACATACGCAATTTTCTCCTTTTCTGCTGCTTTTTGATCCTTTTGCTTATGGGTTTGGCAACTGCAGCTTTCCTCATCCGCAGAGATTATTCTTCAATTCCTCAAAGAGTCTTCAATTTTCTCACAAATCTCTCTTCCTTTCACTTAATTTAAACATTTTTGGCCAATTTCATGATTTAATAATGAGAAATAAAATTGGAGATTTAATAAGTGTCGAAAGAAGACCTTTCATTTCAGCCGGGGATTAAGCAGGAGCTAAAGGTGCGAATCCCCTTCTCCTGTCCTGAGCTGCAATGTGTGAAAGAGCCCAATCCTGCACAGTGCTCAGTGCTCAGTGCTCCCACTGAGGTCGGGCACATCCCATACACACAAAGCTCAGTGCAGATTTGGGCCCTGTAAAACACAGCGTGAGCACATAAATCCACCGCAGCGCTGTCTTGCTAATAACTTTAAAGCCTGACTTCATTTAGCTCTACCTGCAGCAGATCAACTCCGAGCAGCTCCTCGCCGCACCATTAATTTAAGGTAACAATTCACTTAGATCTTTTGTTCTGCATAAGTGCTTCCCAAAATCACATCTTCGCTCTCTGTCAATTACCTGCGACTAACGCACCTTGAAGTTACCTCTTAGAGCAAACATCGCCCTGCTGCCGTAATTCTAAAAGACCATCGGTGGCCAAAAGATAGGAGCGACGCCCCAGGGACTCAGCCTGCAAATTCAGATGTGAAAAAATAAGGAATAAATCAGTGCCGGTGCAGCCTGAGGATCAATTGGATTTTTATCATTTGGGAATTGCTGGCCGTGTTCGCGGGACCAAATGGACCTTGAGCTTTTTGTTCATCCGATTTCATTTTCTGGATGACTACTGTTAGATAACGGCAGCTCCTTGGGTACCTCTGCGGTGCCCTGGCCATCACATCATGTCTGGCAGCTGGCAAATCGCATCTCCAGCACTCAGTACAGCACTTGCTGGCTTTTCTGTTGCCCTTTCCATCACAACGTGGCTTCTCCCACAGGATCGCCCTTCTGCTCCCCAAAACCAAGTGTGCCTTGCTGTGCCAGCCCCATCATCTGCTTTGATCCCACAGCTATGGGAAGCCTCCCTGAGCTGTCCCAGAGATGCTGACCCAGCCTGAGTCCCAGTAAACGTGAATGTGGGCATCTCCTGTTGCCTCGGGATCCGCCTGCACCGTGCAGCAGTGTGACAGCTGTGTGCTGCCCTGTTTAGGGCCTGTCTCCATCTGGACCACTGCTTCCACTCTGCTCGGTCAGGCAGAAAAGGAGCCAGCAGACAGACACGAGCCCAGCCGTGGAAATGGTTAGGTTTTCCCTTGCCAAATGCTCTGCATTCCTACCTAGTTGTTACAATGAGATCGAGAAGCTCTCTGATTTTGGACGGGACTTTGGCTGGGTGCAGAGGACAGAAAGAGAGATGTCTCTTCCTGTCTCGTGTGCATAGCAGGTTTGGATCTCACTTGGAGTACGATGCAGGCTGAGCATGCCAACATTCATAATAATTAACCATTAATGTTAGCAAACACTTGGCAAATCTCCACCAGCTTTCATTTGAAGCTCTCAGAGTCCTTTGTAAACATGAACAGATTAAGCCTTGCCAAGACCCCCCCCAGTCCTACGCGTTAATCCAGAGAATTTCCTCCACTTTCATTCTCCAACAGGGGACTCAGAATGCATGGTGCTGTTTGGAACGGTTTGGATCAGCGCCGCTGTGTGGTGCAGAGCTGAGACCCAGGGCAGCACGGTGCTGCTCTCAAGCCATTTGCTATCAGGATGTCACCCATCGTGCCTACTGGGGCCTGGTGGCATTACGGCCATCTGGCTTTGCCTTCCTTGCTGCTGCTTCTTAACAGCTCCTTGCAGAGAATGATCTTTTGGTCAAAGCTGAACAAAAATAAAGGGCTGCTTTCCAGAATAATGATCTCCCTCTTGAAATACAGTGTCCGTCTGAAGGAATTATAACCAGAAATATAGCTTCTGCGTCTGCTAAACCTCTACAAAGACACTCCCATCCAAGACTCTGCTTCTCCATTTGAAGTCAAGCTCCAAGGAGAGACATCCATCCACCTGACCCCCTCACATGGCCAGCACTGTGCCAGGGCCAATTAAACGTCCAGCCAACAAACCTTCCCCCCATGGACAACCCCTAAGCATGGTCATGGCATCACTCCTGCTATCACCCAGCTCCCCACTGTGCCATGACCTCCATCTGTGCTGCCCGGGGGGCTACAGAGTGATGGATGGCTGGAGAGTAGCACCACAGGCTGTGTGCTCACCTACCTCCCCCATTTTAGTTCAAAAGCAACAATCAGAGTGTCCTCTTGGCCGTGCTCTGTAATGCAGGCGGCTGTTTGCTGTAGAGCTGGAAGAACAATTGGTTTTAGGCAGACAGATAAGCCAACCCAGTGCTCTCCTGGGAACGAGAGGTCTTTCTTCTTTTCCTCCCCCAGTTCTTTGTGCTCATTTGCATTCACTTTTGGCTTAGAAATAAATTGCTTTAAATCTCGGCTCAGCACGAGCTAAGCCTGAAAAGCCAGAGGACGACTTCCAAACGTTGCTGGGAGTTCAGGCAAAAGGCAATCAGAGGTGGGTTGTTCCGAGGCTGAGGAACGCAAAGAGTGGTGTTTGGGGTGTGAATAGGAAAGAGAAAGGTGCTTGGAAGGCAGAGATAGAGCAAGAGAAAAGAAGGAAGATAATGGGTTTGAAAGAGTGTGGGTCTCCCCATGGCGCATCTCAATTGCCTTCTCCTCACCAATGCACTGACTTTTT